ATTAGTAGCAGTTTTTTTTTTTTTTTTTTTTTTTTTAATTTTCATGCTTGCTGCATTCCCGGGGTGAATGATCACACGTACACTCACACGGAGATATCTATTTTCTAAGGACTCGACGAGGGATTTGTTTTAGTCTGTTAAGTTTCTGAATACAATAGCGTTTCTACCGAGGAAACTATGAAACTAAATGTCTATCCTCTATATATATATATTTAATATATATATATATATATATATATATATGTATATGTATAATGTAGTGAAATATTTGAGTACAGTATAGTACAGTACTAGAGTTAAGTAAAGTATCTTTTTTTTGGGCGGATACGACTACTCCTCTAAGGCCTCGCTCATGAATCCTCCTCCCTTTTATTTTTTTGTTTTTTTTTTTTTTTTGCTTTAAAGTAATTTAATTTACTTTAGACTTCCTTAGTCCCATACACATCCACGCACACTACCATCTACAAGTTGAATAATAATGAGATTAGACGAGACGTAACGTTTTCGCCCGCTTTCACCAAGTGAATCGAAAGAATTCGTAGACGAAGATGGGACATGCACATCGATCAATAATTAACAATTATTCAATTCCAATAATGTTTCATTTACAATTCCTGAATTAAATTTCACCTATCAGTCTAGGAAAAAAACCGTCGGAAGTCGATCTTGCTGCATCGAGTCGCCAGCGAACGCGAAACGACAAGTAGTTTGGATAATATCCGCGCAGGAAGGAATATCGAGATTAAATCGAATATTTTATCTCGCTTTTTATTCTCATCTTGCTCTTTACGTATTACGAAGCAACCGAATTGTAGTTTTTGATAATTAATTTTGTTGTGCGATAAAAAGTAATTCTCATTCGAACGTTAAATTAGTTTACAGATTTTACTGATTTACTTTCGACACCGCTTTGGGTCGTGCGAAAGATTCCCCGCTACATTACAGAACGACTGCGCGAAATTTGTTTTTTTGAAATACTTCCGTCTCTTTTCGCCGGACTTGTCCTTCGGTTTTTAATAACCCGTGTTGCGCTCGTAACGATAGACTGGATTAAAGTGTGTCGACTTCTAATTTATCTTCTCGACATGCGCGACATAATTGTTTTGAGATTATAATGCATGTATTTTATCTCGCGATTAGTGGTCTTTCTACGCCGAGAGTCCGTCAAGCGAGTCTCCCTCTTCCCGCAGTCACAGAAATTATTAAAGTGGCAGTATGCAGTCCAATTCGACGAAGTTTGATAAACCAGCGTTTCTCAACTTTCGCGTATGTGTGTGTGTATTGTGTGTGTGTGTGTGTGGCATCTCGAAATAATTTATATATTTCCACTATTATATTCTGTCTATGCGAAGATCGTATATATATATATATATATATATATATGATTCGATCGTATTTACAGTATTTCGTTAGACGAGACGAGAGAACAATATCGAAGTCTGTATGATAACGAGATTGATATTTACACTCCCGAAGGAACGGTATCTAGCACAAGGCCTGTCCTTTGGTTTGCGCTCTCGCGAGCGAAACACCTCTCGTCTCTTTGTCGTCTCGTGCCGATTGAGACGAAGAAGAGACAAACAGGGACACAAAAGCTGAGATTCTCTATTACAAATCAATCATCGCGTAGACACGTATTCGTTGTATCTCTTGCGCATTCTGCGGTTAATGCAGTTTGTTGTTAATCGTTAAGAGAAATTAGGGCTTACGACCGCACGATAAAACGTGGACAGGCCCGACTCGGTGAGAAAGATTGCACTGCTTTACATAATAATTTCACTTAGATTTTAAAAGTCGATATAGTTTTTATTTTTATTTTTTTTTTATTTTTTCCAAGTAGGAGCTTCGGTCGCGCTAAGATCTATCGAGGATCGCAGTTGAGAAACACTGCAGCGTACAAGGTTTTTATACCATAGCAATCGAGAGAGACTCACCCAGGCTGCCGGTTAATGTAGAGTTAAAATGCCAACAAGAAAATATCTTAGTACTCGTATGTATCTCGCTACCTATTTAAGACATTTCTACTAATAAAAGTTTATAGCACTTTTGTTTTATCGACGTAATCCTATATTATCAATGTATGTAACAACGTATGAACAATCAAAGAGAACATCTCTCGTCCCCACCAGCCCCTTCCACTCCAGAAAAAAAGTTCCTCCCGCGCCCCACCGCGCCTTCGTGTGTGTACATTTCTCTGGCTAGTTCTGTATTTTTCTCTGATAAAACTGTCGAAGATTTCTCTACAAATTGACCTAGAAATCTGATATTGCTTAAATCAATCAAAGCCCCTCAGAGGCTCGGCAATCCCTCAGCAAGCCGAACTGCTTTCAAAAGCTCTCCCTATTCGCGCGGAACGATGTTTTCTTATCATGGGGGATGCAGGTCGCGATGATGGGCCCTGGCACTTAGAATCGCCTTCAGCTCGGATTCCAGCTGCTTCTTCTCGCGCTCGCTCACCGATTGGCCGCCTACCGCCGGCTGATGAGTCAATCTTGGCGACGGCAGATCCGCCATCGTTCTGGTGTCGCGGTTCTCGTGGCTTCTGGCGCGTCGTATCGGCTTCTTGATTGGCACCGCCGGCTCCTGAGTCTTCTCGTCCACAGAACGTCGCAAGGAGAGTGTCGCTTCCTGATTCAGAGTGTACGTTGAACCGCCAGCACCACCACCTCCGCCACTACCTATAGCCTCCGTCGACCTGGTAATGTCGATAGTTCCAGAACCCCACTCGCGCGACAGCTTTCTGCCGATAGCGCTGAGATGATGCTCGCTGTTCGGCGACAGCAGCGGACTCTTGGACGCCTGGTAGCTGCTCGAATGTGGCGGTCTCAGCGTGGCGAACACCGGGAACGACTGGCCCCGCTTGGCCGGGCTGCGGGAATACCTCGGTGTGGGTACACCACCCGCGGCGGAATCGCGCCGAACCGTCGGGGTGCCGCCGCCGGTCGAGTCGCTCCTAGTGGGCGCCAACGGTCGCAACGTTGCGCTGCTACCGAAGTGAGATCCCAAGCGTGGCGGCGGCGAACCGCCGTCACCGTGACTCAATCTACGGCCAACCGTCTCCAGTGGGCTTCTCGCGCGTAGATTCGTGCTGCTGAGTGTAAACTCGCGCGGCTTCATTGGCGCGTCGAGGCTCACCGGCGACAGACCGAGGCGAGATGCTGATAAGTTGGTGGAGCTTCTGCTTTTTTCTGATCGCTTAGGACTGCGAGGCATTAGTGGACTCTTGCTACGACTTCTTTCTCTGCCCTTGCCTAATTTCTCATCCTTCTTCGTGGTCTCGGTTTCTTCGGACACTACTTCGATTTTTTCTTCTTGCTGAACTCTGAAAAATTGGAACATGTAAAAACATTGAAACAGTCAAGCAATTTTCGCTGTATCGCGATTTGATACTCTTCTCACTGTCGTGTCGAAGTTAGTAACTAATTGACAAAAATATGTTAGGCATTTGGAACGTACAAGGTACAATCAATATAATATTCTCACCTTCGAATTTCTTGAATCATCTCGAAGAACTGCGCTTTACTTTTACGTCTGCGACGTTGTTCATGTTCCTTCTGGAACATGGAAACGTTGTAGATATTTGGAAACTACAACCAACAGTTTTTTTTTTTTTTTATATTCATAAGTTCGTGAACATAAAATCTTGGAGCGAATAAATGTTCGCGTTAGACAATTTATTTTCATTATCAAGATTTATATATTCACGAACTTGAGACCCAGGTATACTTAAAGAAAACGCACTCGTTTAACGCTCTTTTGGAAGAGTGACGCGATTTGACCCTGTCGTACTGTGTGCACCAGTTCACGAGCGGCGTGATGCGGCGAAACCAGTTCCACGCAATTGATGAACCTATACAACTTCTGCGAGAAGAACATGACATTGCGGCTGCGCCAGATGGAGTCCTCCGGCCTGTGCCGTAGCCGCGGCAACGTGTACTTGTAGAATAGATGTTCTCCCGCCAATATGATAGCGCCTAGCACGACGCCCATCCCAAGTAAACAAAACACCCCGGCTACGGACGCCACTCCCAATGGCCTGGGTTGACCACCAGGTTCGGGCTCGAGACCTGCTTGCATGCCTTGTCGTCCCCCAAGACATGGCAGATCACCGTACCTGAAATTAGTTCGGCCTGTTTAAGAGAGTAACCGCTTGTATCTTTCAGATTTTAATGAATTTTTTTCTCACATAAGCGATTTGTTTAGCGATGACATTTTATCGATTTATGATATAAAAAAAATATAAACAATTTACGCGCGGTCTCCGTCCTTAGAAAAATCTAAATAACTGTAAACAGGTTATTGTGAACCGAAAATGTTTATTAACAATGATACGAGAACGTAGATAATACAACGAGGTTCGCGATATTCCACGTGATGGAACTTTATTTATCACTTAACGTGTTTTAGTTTGATATAATTATATACGCTCCCGTTATAGCGCAAATAAGAAGAAAGTTTGCGCGTAAACCAATATCGATTATCCAATTGTTGTGCGCTTATTTTGCGCAACGCTTACCATTTTTCCTGCAGAATATCGAGCAGACCGTTGCTCGTGTAATTCGCTATAACTTTAGATATGCTCTCCTTCAGAGGATGTCCCTTCGTGAGCGCAATCGCGTAAGTATCTTCGTTGATGGTGTCGCCGATCTTCTGCAAACGGCATCCGTCGTCGGTCGCCCGGTAATAATCCAAAATCGGCGTGTCCGCGATTAGAATGTCCAGACTACCGTTTCTCAATCTTTCCACACCTTCGGCGACATCCGACAGAGAAAATCGAGCCATGTGGGACCACAGTTGCGGATTCGCTCTTTGCACATAGTATTCGGCCGCGGACGCTCTCGGCGCACCGACTCTCTGCGACAGCAACTGTAATTTAACGCACTCATATAAGTTTTAAATCTTACAATTAGAAAGATAAATATGATTTTTCGCATTAAAGTTTCTTTGAAAATTGTTTACATCACGGGGAATGAATAATTGGCGCGTAAAAAAAATTTCTAATAATAATTAAAAGTAGAAAGAGAGAGAAAGAGAGAGAGAGAGCCAATTATAAATATTAAAAACTTCTTAATAAGATTCTTAACAGGTATCTCTTGCATCTTTTCTTTGTATCGCCTTCAAAAACTTTGTGATTTTGCTCAGGTAATAAAGAAAAACTTGAGATACTTACGCTCTTATCATGATAATTGCTAACTGCAGAATGAAAAAAGAGACCAGCAATAAGGGCAGCGATATTGGCCGTGTACGAGGCCACGAAGATAACGGAGAAGCCGCCCCAGATATTGATGAGGAACTTATTAGGCCAAGATTTTGGCGCCTTGAAGGCCACCAAGTGACCGCACAGAAGACCCCACATCACCCACAGTGCGGACGCGATGGAGAAGTTCTTGCTGCGCTGTCTGCCCCAGGGATTCAGTCCGAACGGGCTGAACCATTCGTACAACGCTACGGCAATTGCGGTGAAGTTAAGCGACGTGAACACGGCAATCCATAGTTCTGTGCTGAACGGGAACAGAAACGCGAACAGTGGTATCTCTGAGCGAAGCTTTGGCGCCGTGAGAAAGCTCACGCCGCTGAAATAGTACGGAGTGGTGAAATCCACCACCTCGGCGCGATGAGCGGACACGCTGAGAGGTGCGAACGCGAGCTGCGCCCGTCCGGACACCAATTCTCCCATCACGCCGTTCCAAGTGCCGCTGCGACCGTTTCGCTTGCCGAACAAGCCATCCTCGGCCAGATACAGGTCGAAACGGAAACCGAGCTCGCGCGCCACCAGCGCCAACAAGTCCATGCTCAGGCCATAGCAACACATCACGGTATCGCCCTGCCGACAACTGAGACCGCGCAGACAGAAACCCTCCTGTAGACTCGTGACCATGGTAAAGGGCGACGCAAGCGCGGTGACGATGCGATAAATCGGCATGCCGATCTTTTCGCCGCCCTGCTCGAGATACGCCGGCACGATACCGCCGCCCGGCCAAATTATAGTATCCAGACGAACTTCCCTGCCACCCTTGATAGTGCCGACCTTGGTCCACCTGTTAAACATTAATGACATCAGATCGTCTAATAGTTCTGTCATCTAATAGTAGATATAAGTATTTTATGATTGTGTTCTCAACCTCAGTTGAGTTTTGTTCCCGGGAAATCTGATGGCTTGCAGATTCAGCAGCTGGAACTCCGCCTTATCCCGAGAAAGTTGTCCCATAAATTCCCTCAGTTTGCTCGTCAGAGTCGCAGAAACGTTCTGTCGCACTTCGCTTGTCATAAACTTGGCCTTGCGATCCGGAAAGCACTCTGGAATAAAATGTTCCTTGAGCTGTGATTCGCGCATTCGGCTCAGTCTGCCTTTTAACTCTACGAAGGTCGCGTCCAACGCCTGCGAGGTTTCCCGCAGCATTCGAGAGAGTATGGTGTCGCCGCCCATGATCTTAATACCGGACGGTCTCAGCGCGAGCATGCCGACCGGCATGAAGTTCTTGGAATTGAGATCCCGATCGCTCGTGAACCTCGTGTCTTCCTCGTCGTCGAAGTTGAAGCTACGGTCCTCCCGCTTGCTCACAATCTTTTCGCCCCGCCACCTGTATTCCTGTAGCCGATGTATGTCGTCGGTCAGACTCGGCAGCGAGTTCAGCGGCGGCACCAGCGGCTGATCATCGCCCACCACGAGATTCGTCGCTCGCGGCGGCAAGTTCTCGTTCGTGTTCGTAATCGCTACGGTTCGCGAGCTGTGAATAATGCTGGGCGAATTGATGATGTTGGGCTCGTTCGGTCGCAGCTCAGCTTTGAGATCCAACCACAGCCACAGAAATCTACCCGCGAGCATTTCGAACTTGCCGGCCGCGCTGAGAATCTTTCGGGCGTTGTTCAGGTCGCAGGCCATTACCACAACCCCACCGCTCCCACCCTCCTCGGCTACTCTTCTTAGTCTCAGTCTCAAGGTTTTGTCGTTCGTCGGCAGATGTATTATCGCGCGAGGCGTTAGCGTCGGTTGATTCGTTTGCAAAAAATGCGTCAAGGGTAGCAGGGTGGTGTCAATGAGAAGGGTGAACGCGTGCCAATTAGCCCGATGCATTAAAGCGGCTGCTGCTGCTCCAACCTCTTTGGAGCTTGAACCTATACGGTTTTCGAACCGCCCAAAATTTCCCTAAAAAAAAAACAAATTTAAAAAATGTAAAACAAATTTGGCTTTCTTTGTATATTTTCACTAAAAAAAACGTTATATATATGTTTTCTTGAAACACACACATATATATATTATACGTAAATATACGCGCGATAAATTTCGTCAATTTCATTACCTGGCGAAGAAAATCTTTGTGCGTGAACGGCAACCATAGAGCCGGAAGGTTCAAGGCGGCAGCAGCTGTGACGAGAAATCTGGCTGCCGATCCTCCTCCTATAATAAGGCTTAGTACTGTCTTTCCGCCTTCGATGTCTGTACAAAATTTGTTTAACAGTGATAAGGGGTATTGCAAGGAATCTGTCATGGGTGTCATCCTTGCTTCTATATACGATACATCCATGTCCGCGTGTAAAGATTCCAGTCTCGCTTCCTCCCATGCTTTCTGTACGTCTGTCTTGAAAGGAGTCTGAGGCTGAGTTAAACATACCACTATCCGCCACGATGAATAAGACAATCTGAGTCTGGCTTTCGCCGCTCTCAACGATTTTGCGTCCGCAGTGCCGGACACTGACACAGAAGCTCCTAACAAGAGGAGGATTACAACTCTCGAATAGGAGCTAGGCATCTTCCTCACTTTCCTTATATCCTCCTTCTTCCTCTTTCTTTCTACTTAACTTTTGTGACGTACATTGTCGAAATGTGGATTCGATCTGTAAAAATATAATTTTGCTGCTACATAGACCGAACACGTTGCGAACATTTATTAAATCGTTTTGCGTTGATATTATTTTGCTTCGTTATTCGCAACAGAACATTTTGTGCACAATGTGTTTGTTTTAAAACAATTTTTAATTCATTTCTCTCGATTTTTGAATTATTTCTCTCCTCGAAGACGAAGAATTTTTCTACTTTTTCTCACTTCTCTCTCTCTCTCTCTCTCTCTCTCCACCCCAAAAAAAAACACAAGAAATTTATAATTGACACCAATTCGAAGAGAGAACTCTCAAACCCAATAAATTCTCTGTCAATATCTTTCTCTCTCTCTCTCTCTTTCTCTCTCAAAAGCACATATCACACATGTTTAAGTAAAGCACTCTTACGTTACTTGCTGAGAGCATTTCACCTCCTAGGGGTGGTTACCCTGTTCCACTTTTTTTTTTCTCTCGCAAGTGTCAAGATAAATTCTTTTATCACAAACGCACGAGCACACACATTTCGCGTTGTTTCGCGTGAACACATCGGGAATGAAAGATTCTTAGTCACATTTTTTTTTTTTTTTTTAAAGAAACGATCCGCGTATACGCGTTTCGTACAGTGCACAAAACAGAGACGACCTTACCTCTTGGCGGAAGGGATGGAAGGTCGCGCGTCTGGTGGGGGTTTAAGAAGAGCAGAGAAGCAGGGATTGCTTTTCTGCCGTCGCCGCATAATAGCCGTCGTCGATCGGGTTTAACCGTGTCGATCGTCGCGAGACAAATCCGCCAATCGGTCGGAATACACGGACGAGCACAGCCACCCTCGTCATTCGTCCACCCCCGGACGATCTACCCCGTGCGTAACGGCCATTTTCGCGAGCAGCCCCTCCCTTTAAACTTCACCCCTAGTAGCATCCTGTGGTCCACACGAGCGCGCTCGTGGCAAGTCCTCATGTATTGCGCCTGTCTTTCTCTCACCCCCGCGTGTGTGCGTGGCGTCGTGTCCGTGTGTGTATCGGCGGCATCCCGACAATGCCACCAACACTCGCGGATCTCGCTGACGCCCGTTATAAATGTCTTCGCAGCGTTCTATGAATTAAAAAAAGAGCGGGTTTTCCCCGAGCTCCTCCTAAATACGAGGTGTCCCGGAAGCCGTGACCTGATTTCGATTGCGGACCCTTGGGGCCATTCGTATCCTTCTTGAGCGAGATGAATAGAGGAGCCGAGTTGTAAGAGATTGATGACTATAAATTATGCAAGAGCTGAAAATGTAAATCAAGATCTGAGAAATTCGACTCGATTACGCACTTGAATTATATGCATTTATCTTTCGAAATAAATAAAAGGAAAATGCTATTTCAATTTTGTGTGATAACGCTCTAATAAATTTCCAAGAGAGATATATACAAGTCTCTTTTCTTTTAAATATCGGGTAACAATTGCGTTCTATGTAAATAAAGTTAAGAAGATCTGCGCAAATTGCTTTTAGACCGCTATTAAGTATGCAAAATCCTATATATACATATATATTATAAATACACTTATCTCAGTTTATTCAATTCAGATTCTCTCTCTTTTCATTTCTTAGAACTTTAATTCAAAATTTAATTACAAATTGATATTTGATGTTAAAACATTGCGAGATGATCTTCTTCGAAATGTTATTCGAGAAAACTTACCTCAAATTAAGCAAAGAATTCGCCTGTTAAAAGTTTTTCTCAAAGTTTAGGTTTTGAAAAGAACTTTTGTCATGCCGTTGAAAGAAAAAAGTTCAAGAATTGTGCGGACTCGCAATGATGTAAGTGATGATGACAGGTTTTTTTTTTTTTTGGCCGGAAAATAGCTTACTATATTTGGGATCTTTGTTTAAATTTACATTCGCATTTTATATATACATATACATTATGCCGTCCTGCCATAATTATGGGAGCGTTTAAACTAAGTTTACAAGGCGTTGAAACATTGAAGACACACCGCGTTCTCGAAGCATCGCTTCGCCAATTTCTGTTATTGCCTCTGAGGAATCTTTACTTTGTTCCTCTTTCGCACTCTGTCTTTCTCCGTCTCAATTGTTTCTACAGCTAAAAAATAATGTTTTCGGAATGTAATTATGCGATTATTTCACATGGATGACGAGATCTCCACTTGTTTTTTTTTTTTTTTTTTTTGTTTTTCTTTTCTTACGTCCCTCTTTTGCACTAGGAACTAACTTAATTACAGAGATAAGTTCTTAATAACAGTTAATGATCATTAAAATTAGCTAAATAGATTTTGTTGGGATGCGTCATTCTCAAACGTGCCCCACGCATTGTTTAACTCCATAAAAATCAACTTCGCTATATTTTCATTCGCCGTGCCCGCTTGCTGCAACACAGAAATGCGTTCACATTTGTTTCAATCACGTTTTATTTCTTTAATATAATAAGTAATAAAAAATTATTCGTAATTTGTTTATCTTAATAACAAAATAGTAAACATAAAGATAATTGAAGTACCTTGTCCGGATGCACGGCCAAACAGGCTTTTCTATACGCCTTTTTAACATCCGCCGCCGTGACCAGTTGGTGCATCTCGCAACGTTGCCATCTCTCAGCTTCCGGCCAGAGAACCGTGTGCAGAGAACAGAGCAATGCTCGTAGATTTCCCTTTTTACCCTCCGTCCATTCGGCTATTTTTAGCCTGTCAGGATCCATCGTCTTGGCTGCCTCCACCTTTCGCATCTGATTTATTGTCTTCGGACTGTCCTTCTCGGCCTTACGTGAGCTAAAGAAGTTGTAGCCTTGACTGCCGAGAAGATCCTCAAACGCGTCACCGCTTGTCTTTTCTTTCGGTTTACCACCAAATACGTCCGACGTAGCGCCGCTGATGTTGTAACCATTGGTTGCCGTATTTGATTTGTGCATCGTATTCGGGCTAGAGTGGATAGGCGTGCTCGCGGGTGCCGGACTCGCTGACTGCGGAGTGTTTGAGTTTTTCGGCGTTCCGTTCCAACTACCTGCAAGACCAGCACCCAGTGAGCCAGCCAGATTAGCAAACGGATCTTTGTTGGCCTGAGTCTGAGCGGCAAAGTTTGGCACGCTGGCATTTCGCGGAAAATTCTCCTCGGTATTCGGACTCTTGACGGGGTTTGTCGTGCCTGTTGCAAAACCACCAAGGAGATTATTACCCAACGGATCGAACAGCAAATCATTGACTTCCTTGGTGTTGCTCGGTGTTGTCTGATTCTGTCCGAACAAAAAATCGTTCATATTCAGATTATTGTTGCTAGTAGCGTTGTTCCTCGTAGAATTGTTGTTTCCAAACAGTAAGTCACCCGCGGCGCTATTATTAATTAAGGGTACAGAGTTGGCGGCTTCGGTCTGCGGCGCCGACATGCCGAAGCCACCTAAGAGATCGCTTTCGTTCTGACTAGAACTAGAGAAGATATCTAATTCTGGGTTTGCCGCTGGAGCAGCGGGAGTATTTGAGGTATTACTGGTATTTTCCGGCATGCCAAGATTCAGCAAATCAGCCTCCTGAAAGCTGATCTCTTCATTCCTGTTTGTCTCTTCTTCTTCTTCTTCTTCTTCTTCTTCTTTCTGATTTTCCGATTGCTGAAGTACTGGTTCCGGTTGCGAAACTTCTTCGGTTTCGTGCGACGGTGGGTTGTAAGTCTACAACAACATCTCTGCGTGAATAAATATATTTAATGAAAAACTTAATTCTATAAAAAAAAAAGAGAAACACCAGGAGTTTTACCTCTTCCGAACACGGTGCAGTTCTAAAGTTCTCCAAAGTCTCCTCCATTTCTAACGTTGAGCCAAACAACGGATCCGGCACCGGTTTAATACAAGTTTCCACTTCCCACGGTGCCGGTACTCTCGACAATTTTGAATTTTCCTCACCTATCATGACGTTCAGTAAGACGCGGAACTTGCCGCCAATCTCAGGAGCGTCATCCAGATCGCGCTTCTCAAACGTCAGAGCGCTCTCGGTGATAGGCACGTAGCCGGTGTGGAATTGCATCGAACAGATTTTAATGCCAATCACACGACCTAGTTGCTGCCTGGCGTGATAAACCACCATGGTAACGTCACCGCGCACGGCCGCGTCTCCTAGTATCAGGCAGACCTTGCCTTCCATTATTCCAAACAGCTTCATCTCTTCGTAACCAGCTTTTTTTGTCGTGAAGACCAGAGCGCCGTTACTATAAATCTCTATATAGGGCCGGCAACCGTCCTTCGCTCTGGTAAATAACGGCACCGGTTGTATGATGACGGATCGAAGAACCAACGGTTTGGTATGCGGAAGTCGGCCGCCGCTCAACATACTCATATAATTAATACTACGTAATTCCGAAGGCTGTAAATGTGGCGGCTGACAGCGTCTCGTCGTGAACAGAGCAATTGCCTCGTCGGGAGTGGTCAGAGCTCTGCAGTAAATCAACAGAGCGCATACTATTGTAGCACTTGCCCGATATCCATCCTGAAAAATAATTAATCAAAATAAGCATTTAACTCTTATTGCTTGTTCGATCGTGCAATTTGACACTCACACCACAATAAAGCACCACGACATGACTGAAGTCGGCATTGAGATATTGATAGATATCCTGGCAGATCTGAAATAGAGTAAATAGCATAGGCGCGTTTGATTCTGAGGTGGCATAAGCAAACGAACAGTCAATGTGCCTGCCGGGCAATCTCGTGACGTTCGGCCGACCGCGAGACAAGTTGTACAACTGGATCTTCGCCGGCGGCGGATGGCGTGCTTGCAAGAAAGCTCTAACATCCTCCACGTGATTCGCTCGATACGCGGATTCAATTCCGTCGGCCGGATACGGCATGATAAGTATACGTGATGTCAGATAGCTCGCATCCAGTTCCGTTCTGGCCATACTTTGTTGAACAGTATGCATAACCTTGCTGGAAGTATCCTTGAGGTTGCGCAAAATGCTGCCTGCGCCACCTTTCAACGAGTTGAATAGGCCCGCTGTACCCTGATTCGCTGGGAGTTTAGACACCGCCGTCTGCATGGGTGCCGGTTTCGGCGGCGGCATCGCTACCGGCGGGGTGGGACGAGGAGGCGGTGTCGGTGTGCTCGGTTGCTGCGACGGCGGTGGCGGTGGCGTTGGACGCGGAGGTGGCGACGGTTTGACCATAATTTCGACTCGCGGTGGTTCTCTGGGATCGAAGTCGTTCGACTCGGCGATCGCAGCTAAACGTTCCAGAAGCTGTGCCGTTGTAGTTCTCTGAATGGGCGAGATATTTAGACACCCTTTTACCAGATCATACATACACGCATATCGCGGATTGGTCGGAAGCGGCGCGTACTTGCCGTTCACGATTGCCAGTTTATTACCTGTAACACGTTGAGAATATTTTATTAGTCTTTTTTATACAATAAAACTCTGGATAGAAAATAAAATTTGTAATTCTGAACAATTTTATTTTATCATATTTAACTTGATGTGTTCAACATATCTCACGACTATATCGCTTTACCTTCGGGAAAAGGATGTCTCAATGTAATCAAGGCATACAGTATACATCCCAAAGCCCAACAGTCCACCGGAGGCCCTATAGGTTCATTATTCCACGTGTCCATCATCTCAGGAGCACGATACATAGGGGTCGTGTACTTGGCCATCTGATCCTCCAGAGTCGCGCGTTTCTGTGCGTTCCATGATGGATTCGGTAGTATCTGTTGAGTGGATGTGCTACCGAAGTCGCAGAGTTTCACGAGGCCGTCTTTTCCGATCAGAAAGTTTTCCAGCTTGATGTCACGATGGACAAAAGGTTCCGGTTGCTGACTGTGCATGTGATGCACAGCTCTTGTTGCTTGATAGGCTATCTTGCACACCTGAGCGAGGGTCAGCGTGTTTGCGGACACGCTTCTGAGTATATCTGCGAGAGTGCCACCGGGACATAGTTCGGTAACGACCAAGTATTCGTATCCCTTACGATCTTCTCGCTCCAGTCGTTGGGCGTATAAAAACTGAATAATATTCGGGTGACCTGACAGTTTCTTGAGCGTTTCAATCTCCTGTATAATTGCTTTGTTCGCGTCTTCATCGGCAGCAATAAGTCTCTAACGATAGAAGATAACAAATCTTTTTAGAATACGCACCAGGTTGCAGAGAGGAAGGCCTGAAGCGGTCTACTTACTTTAAGCGCATATTCTTTTCCCGTAGCAACATCTTCAACCGCAAACACCAGTGCCCATCCACCTGTTGATACGATGTTTGCCACATATTATCTAAATGTTAATAACACGATACATAATTTGATTATAAAAACTATACATTTTTCTCACTCAAGTTGTAGTCGTGTGCGTAAGAAAATATTATTTACTATGCGTAACGCAACAATGTACAATTAAATATGTAAAAAATATGTAAAAACTCAGTTGAATATGTACAAACTCAGTTAGCTCGTACACATGATCTACAGATGTTACGCACATAATTACTTTTACTTATAATTACTTTCCTAATAATCAACGCATTCATAATTAAGATTTTAATTAATTCTGATAAATCAGTTAAGTAGATTTTAATTATTTTTATGACAATTACACACGTTTTTCTCTTTTCACAGTGATTTTAACTTCAATAAAAATATATTATTTTATATACTATAACAAAGACAAAATTGTTTTATTTCGTGCAATTTTAAACAAATAGAGGAAGTAAAATAGAAGAAATAAGACAATGTTTTAAAAATTTCTAAATCGACTTATCAGTCAATTCTTTGTATAGGCATAAATTGTTGATAAGATATTGAGACACTTCTTGGAAAAAACGTACACATCTTCATTCAACTTCTCATAAAACTTACGAAATATAGAAAATAAATGATAAACAAAAAATAAAAAATATCATTATGCATCAACATGTACACAATGTCAAATTACATTTGAAAATAATATTTGAGATTTTTTTTTTTTTGCTATTATGTTCACGAAGAACGATAAAAAGTCAATCATCAAAACTCGCAATGCAATCGTTACAAAATTATACAACAAATTTTAACAACACGGAGACGCTTGCAGACCTGACAATTTTAACAGCGCGTCAAATAGAATCGCGCGAGCGAACACGATAGGAAAGAAAAAAAAACAATGCGCATTAACGTCAGAGATGTATAAATGATCTGACAAGAGCATGTTTAGCACGTTTGGCTGTGTGTCAAAATACACATGGATGTGTTTTTGACAGATGACATATGCTATATACGCAAGATTAGGTGCAAGATTCGATTTCTTTTTCTTTCTTTTTTTTTTTTCCACGAACAGTGAGACACGTTGTTAGCTTTGCGCGAGGCGGGAAAACAAGCACGCAGTTTCATCACGATCGACGTTATCGGCATTTAATCGCGCGATCAGCGGTAGGAGGTGTCGCCGCTGCGGGACACCGAGAGATTTGACAGACGGTTGAAAGTTGAGCCAGCCGGGAGATAGACTCACCCTCGGCGATCAGTCGTGTCACCCTCAGCTTCACATTGTTGATATCCAGTGTCTGGCCGACATAATCGTTGCCGCCGCCGGTGCCGCCGTTCAGGTACCCGAACGCGGACCTCAGGTAATCCGACATATTTCCCTGGACGTTTCCTTGTGGGTACCCGCCAGACGGCCCCGCTTTCACAGTCGCGTTGCGGACAGCCGATGACGTTCGGCCATATTGGCGCGGAGATACCGTAGGCGCGCGCAGCCAGGCCTGTATCAGCTGACTGTCAATCGTTTAGGTGCCCAACTCGACGCGCTCGGCTTTGGCGCTTAGACAAAAAGTTGTTTCACTCAGTCAATTATATATTTATATTAATTATTGCATGTAAAATGTACGATAAACATATTAACGTAATCAAGTATAAATAAGTGGAAATATGATTGGTAATCCATAAGCAATATACAAGCAAGTTAAAGATAAAACACTATTGATTGTCATATAATTTACGTGTGTATATATGTACAATCAATATAAGTAGAAAATGTGTGTGTACATAATTTTATATGAGATTTTGCGCGTAGTGTTATGTGTATAATAATATGTGTGTATAATCATATATTAGAAAATAATATACGCTTTTAATAAACACAAAAAGTGTCATTAGAGAATATATTATATGCAATATATAATGCGCAAAAAATAATAACAATTTCTCTTCAAGTTCATTTGATTTAGAAAAAAACTGAGTTGAGTAGATTTCTTTTTCAAGATGTTCTCTATCATTAAAAAGAAAAAAAACGTGTAGATGCCCTTGTTCGCGCATTATCCAACCGCATCGCTGATTGCAAATTGTGAAATCACCATCCTCATCGTGATTCCAGAATCACCGACGCGTGTGTGTTTGAGTTTTCTATTCTGCCCTACTTATTTACGCGGCGTGTATGCAATTAGAAGCGAAGAAACGCGTTGCGCCTTCATTATACATCTCTGTCCCGTTATGATCGCGCAACATTAAAAAAAGCAAGAAGCAGCGAGTAATGAAAATATTTTGAAAGAGAGAAGAGACACGAGAAAGACATAATCTCATATTTTCTAAAAATAAAACGAGATTTTATATTCTATTCGCGTATACACACGTATATATATATATATATATATATATATTTTATTCTCAAATTTGATTTTTGTTATACTCTGAAAAAAATTCTCGATTCTATATAAAGCTCTAATAAAAATTTCAGAATTATTATTTCAAGAGATTTTATATCGATACGATAATTATAATCATAAATGTGCTCAAAACGAAAGGTTTTTTTGATAACAATTTGGAGAACAAATTGTACACAAAGAAAGAGAGAGCGATTAATTTAATTTATCTGCTGACAACGTCATCTAGCGGTCTAAGTTGTTCTCATTTTGTGTCATTTTCTTCCACTAGATGGTGTCATTGCGTACGTAGCTTAGTATCTCCATCTACCGTTAGATGAAGAATTGTATGTACGCATGAATGTGTACATTTATATATATAAACAATTATTTTTATGTACTTATTAAACACTCATCCACACTCATTTTATTGTAGGATAAACATACGTTTGTTTCTGTATAATTAAATGCACACAGTGTTTGATAAAATGCCTGCTGCGTGCGGAGGCATGTTTACGTTTAAGTAATTAAATCTACGTTTCTAAAAAAAGGAGATGAAGTAATTTAATATGTATTTCTAAAGAGAGAAAGAGTATCTGTAAAAGTCCAATTTATTTGTGATAGAAAGGTATGTTATTATTTCGCAATCTCGATGAATTTCAATGACATGCGGTCTGACACACACATCTCAGTTTTCAGACTCAAATAAGTTTCATCAAACAAGATGTCATCCGAGATAATAAAATTCACAAAGTTAAAAACAGTAACAGATCCAACATTTTGGGCAAAATTTGCTGAATTAAAAATAGATAAGTTAAAATTAGATGAAAAGTCCGAGATACATTTGTGGGGAAGTTTTTCTCTCAAACCAATGAACGAAGGGAGAATAAATCCATTAACACTTGATTGTACATCATTTAATGAGTAAGTATACAGATATATTTTTATAGAATGATTCTTATTTTATACTAATTGTAAATAAAAGATGAATACACTCATTAATTTATGTATATATATCTTATAATATATTTTTTTGTATGTTTTTAATAACATATAATTTACATTATCATCAATATAATAAATGGAATAAGTTTCAATTAAATAAATTTCAGAGATCTAGAGACAACTTCTCACAATGCAGGAGTAGCTTGTTATGGCTATATGGTTAACACAAATACATATGAAGCATTTAGACAGATAAATCCTGAGAAGTTCATTGATACAATGGGCAAATGTATCATTAACAGTATCACAGATGGCTCAGCTATAAAAGAACCTTGGCGTCTTTCAGTATTTTTAATATTTGCATTTTCTGATCTAAAAAAATATAGATTTCATTACTGGGCTGCGCATCCAACTCCTTTTTCTTTGCCAGAAATCTATTTAGCCCAGTCATCAAAATTTGCATCTAGCGAATTTACGTCTAGTCAAATAGATAAATTGCATACAAGTTTTCTTCAGCTGGATGCAAAATCAAGAAACTTTTTTACAATTTTTGCATCTGGAAAAGATGATTTAATTGTTGATACTTTGTCAAAAGGAATAGAGAATGCCAAATTTACTCAAAGTGTTCAAGGAGATTCAAGAAAGGTACAATAAATTTATATATATTTTATATTTTTTACATTTTTCAAAACACTAAGAAGTAATATGGTATTATTAACAAAAGTTGATTTTAGTTTTAATATTATTGCAGATAAAGGATGAAGTATACTTTGCGTTTTATGATCCTTGCATAAATGCAGAGCCTGGATGGCCTTTGCGAAATCTTCTGTGTTTGTTATTGTGGCATTGCCCCGTGTATTGTTTTACACGTCATATTAAAGTTCTATCTATAAGAAACGATAAAGTACAAAGCGCAGTTATATATACGCTTAGAATCAAAGACAAAGACACAGAAACTATGAGAGAAGCTATTTCCAAGGGTCACTTAGTAGGCTGGGAAGCTAACGCGAACGGAAAAATGGGTCCTAACATCGCTGATTTATCGAACATTATGAATCCTGCCAAGTAAGATTTTTTTAAGTTTCTCAAATTAATCATCGTTGATCTTTATGAATAAAGTTTGTTTATTTTATTTATTACATACTAGATTGTCAGACAAAGCGATCAATTTGAACCTGAAATTGATGAAGTGGCGTCTTGTACCTGATCTAGATTTAGAAAAGATCAGTAGTCTGCGATGCCTTTTGTTGGGCGTTGGTACATTAGGGTGTTCCGTGGCGAGAGTACTCCTCGGCTGGGGCATTAATAACATGACACTCGTAGATAGTTCTACTGTCTCTCACAGCAACACCGTGCGCCAAAGTCTGTACACGCATGAAGATGCGGTGCAACGACGTTACAAAGCGCACGCCGCGAAAGATGCTTTACTTAAAATACGTCCTACTATGGCAAGTAGTATTTCTATTAAATTCATATAATTATATAAAACAGTTTTATAAACATCATAACAATATATATTTAATTGTATCAAATATATACAGAATGTGGAAAGTGCTGTTTTGCATATTCCTATGCCTGGTCACGTGGTCGGTCAGAGTATGATGGAATCAACGAAGGAAGCCGTGAGCAAGTTGCAAGAACTCGTGAACAGTCATGACGTTGTGTTCCTGCTTTTGGACTCACGAGAAGCCAGATGGTTGCCCACTCTTTTATGCGCCGCAATGAACAAAATAGCTATTAACGCTGCTCTGGGTTTCGATGCTTACACGGTGCAACGCCACGGTACGCGGAATCTTTCTGATTCTTCCACACCTGATTTAAAGATTCAAAATCCTTCGGGACCGAATCTTGGATGTTACTTTTGTAACGACGTTACGCAGCCAGGAAACGTATGTTATATTTACTTTTATTTAAAACACATTCTTGCATTGAAGCATAAAAAATGTAAACTAGCATACTAATTTAACAAATTTGATTTTTTAATTATAATTAATTTTGTTTATATTCTAGTCGCAAACGGATAGAACGCTTGATCAGCAATGTACCGTCAGTCGGCCAGGTTTGTCACAAATCGCTGCGGGTTTAGCAGTTGAACTACTCATGGCGATAACGCAACATCCACAAGGGTAAGCTAAATTCATCTAATAATATATACACAAATTTTGTTAGTTGTAAAATTTATAATAATAATTAATTGCTACTTAATTGATTTTTTTATCTATTCTTCTTCACAATCTCAAGAATTTCAGCCAGAGCGTTTGTGAGTTACGATAGTGATGATTCTAAAAAAACTACTGATAATCCATCGCTAGGATCATTGGGCGGTGTACCTCATACAATACGTGGTTTTCTTTGGAATCACGAAATGAAATTAACAGTCACACATAAATTTGCATTCTGCACGGCGTGTTCTATACCTTTAATCAAAGAATATCAACAACGCGGTTTTGCTTTTGTACTTGACGCTTGCAATGTGCCAAATTATCTCGAGAGATTATCAGGACTTGAAGAAGTATTGAAGAAAGCAGAGCTGGATAAGGTATCTAATTTTGTAACACTTATCAATTTTTATTTCTTCATGCATAAATAAATAAATTTCATAGATGTAATAATTTACAGATATGTTATACAATGGATACTTCGAGCGAGGATGAAGAGACATAAAATGCAATTTTAATAGTCTAATTTAAATGGTGCACAGCTACAAAATAGTATAAGAAGAATATGCATTTAAATATAAACTATGTTGCACTGTTTGTACACTAAAATAATATATAATTCTTTTCTCAGTTTCGTGTAAGTGATATACGAAATCACTTTTTAAAGGTTTAATCAAAGTATATTCTCTATGAAATCAAAAGTTTTCAACCTTATATATATATATATATATGTATATACACAATATATATATCTTGTTGTGCAAAAGAATCATACAGTTTGACAAAGAAAAGATTCATACGTTTACTTCTGTAGTAGCGCATTGTCTTTCTTTTTAATTTGTTGTATTGTGCGTATCTGTGATTGTATGTTTTATGTTATTAATACTCTTTAACACATAGATTTTTATATTTCTATACGTAAAACAAATACGAGTTGTAGCATTTATAAATAAATATGCACAGATTTATGTTTTATTCTTACTCGTACAATTCTATTTAATTATAGTGCTATAATTTTTATACTACGTGAGTATAAAAAGTCAAATGCTGTTGCTAACATTGTACAAACTACTGTTCAATTTACCAATATCTATACTGCTGGTTTTACTTTTTAGAGAGGTTGCGTTCCGTCAACCATTTTCAGAACTGGGAATCTATAGTTCACCTGACATACAATGTAGATTTTCAATACTGGCAGTGAATTTCGGAACGCAGTTAAAAAAATAACAACCGTATTGTGAGACAACCCGCCGCTTTCAGTGATTTTTAACAATGCGCTACACTTCACTTGTTGCAATGGCTAAAATTTTTTACGAATTAGGCTTTGAATTGTTATTTCTCCATATTCGCTAGATATGGCCACGTGCGATTTCCATTTATTTTTGAATCTGATTTTTGATCAAATAAATCTGAAAGAAAGTTTTGAACAACAACGAAGTCATCGATGTACCGTAAATGGCTATCTGTGTGTACGTAAGTGACCTCACGTATGCAAAAAGTATGTATAAATGTCACTTCAAGTATGTATAAATATCACTATACACAACTATCTAATCTATGCGTTTTCTACACCTATTGTACCCAAAACTAGCTTTTCAATACGGCAGAAATGTCGGCTTAGCTTTAAGCTTGATTGACGATCTTATAGATTTCGCAACATCTTCAAAAGAAAAACCGACGGCCATTGATCTTTAAACTCGGAATAACAGTCCCAGTACTTTTCGCTTGCAAACAAGTTAGTATACAACCTGTAGTTTATTAATTTGTAATAAAATCAAACAACTTTTGATATGAGAAATCGCAGCTATAGGTTTCAAACATTTTATTTTATATTGTATACGATATATTATTTTGATTGTTACAGTATCAAGAAGTGAACGCTATGATCAAGTGCTACTTCCAAGAGCCTGAAGATATAGAAAAGACTTTTGAATTGGTACACAAATCCAATGATCTTGAATGGACAAAATTTTTGGCCAAAAAACACTGCGAGAAGCGAGCAAAATCGCACAATTCTTTATCGAAAGTCTTTGTCAAAAAGCTTTGATTATTATGGTTGATTTCGTTGTCAATCGCATAAAATAACGTCACAAAAAAAGAATGTAATGTTTTAACATAGCTTTACATATATATATATCACTACTTATATATATATATCATTGATTTAATTATTTATTTTATGTTATTTATTTCACGAAGATCTCATAATATCAGAAAACATATCGCATATTATATATTTATATTTTATCGCAGTATTTATTTTTTTTTACTATAATCTATTATGATTGGGAACATATTATAATTTGGCTAAAAACTTATAATAAATATAAATTGTTTTACATTCTAGACAGTGTTTTTTGTTTCATCTAACAATTTTTTCTTGAAAAACGTTTTCTGTATTTCTAACTTATATTTTTCTGTCTGTTTTGTTTGGTTTGCTTGTGACCACTGACTGATTATATCAGACGACTGCAACAAGGACAGAAAAAATATTAACGACTCACGTGCATCAGCAGTTGCAACTTAAGAAGTTGCACCGTAGAAAAGCAGTCGATTTGAATATTCGGACATATTCAAACTCGGTTAAGATATTTTTTACTTTATTGCACTTTATTAAATGACCATTAATTTAAAATTATTAAAACTTTTAATCAAGAAATTAATTTTATTAGCATTAGAAATTTTTAAGCGGAATTAATCAAATTTCCTTGTAGCGTCGAAGATATATACTTTATCTATGACGCGTCCGAAAAAATTTGTTTCATATCTGAATTGATATGAAACAAATGTTTTACGATACGTACCATACTCATGATATCATAATTTCTTCGATTAAAAAGAAACGAAATTAGATAACGTGTAAAACAAAACTTGTTTACTACGATGAAAAATGTGAAAAAATGAAGAAAAAAAAACAATTTGTGTTATATAAGATTGATTTAGTATTTTGCGAACTCAAATAACGGACAAAAAAGGACACAATAAAATGTACTAAAGGACAATATAACATAGAAAAAGGTAACAATTTTTAAAAATAATTTTTTGAAAAAATATTTAACGCTAATATGTTACATATTTACACGTGTACATATATTAATTAAATAGAAAATAAAAATATTATTACTGTTTTAATTGTCCGACTTTCACATAGTAAATGTATATAAATATGTAAAATCATATGTAAATTTTTTCAACAGGAAAACATGAAGAAACAAAATAGGAATATTTTTTTTAAAGAAGATTCGTGAAGCACACGCACGAGATCGTTTCCGAGAGATAAAGAAGAATGGAGGGCACGGGTTCTCGGAAAGCAGGACGCGAGGGCTCCGACCGAATATATCGTTCGAATGTCTAATATCGATACTCTGCCAAGTCGCAGCGTGTGGTATCGCGTGGGGACGATAAGACTCCGCGCGCTCGCGTATTTACAAGGCTGCGGGCGCCGATTTGGCGATTTTGCCGCGTCGCGGCGCAGTGATCGGCCGCATGCCACACATTCCAGCGTAGAGCGTAATGCTCGAGAGCGCACGCGGTGGGCGGTGGGGGTGTGTGCGGTCGGTTAGGCGATGGAGAATGCGGGGGTGAGATAGGCAGGAGGGGAGGGGGGGCGGATAGCCGAGGTCTGTCTGTCGTGTCAAACAGGCCGTGCCGCGCGCGTCCACCCGCCCGCATACCATTAGATTTTCGTCGTTTTCAATGAAAACGGGACCGTGATCGCGGCACGACGCGTCGGTCACAAGCGTGCCGATCAGTTGACGTCGCGTTTATCCGAGTGTCAACACGGAACGGAGGAGTGTCGCGACGTGAATCGTACGCGATCCGGCTTTGCGATCAAGTCTAGTGCGGGTGAGTAAAACATAAAACACACACGTACATATTTAATGTATACATACATGTATATATATATATATATGTATATATATATGTATATATATATATATATATACATACACATGTATATATCATGAATATAATGTATATACACACATATGCGTAATATAAATCTACGTAGGTGAAATATAAAACTCCGATGAGATATACAACGTGTCGGCGCGGTTTCTCTCAAAAAACTACCGTATTCTTCGCGCGCTACTTTTTTTCGTTGTAGTTTTTTTTTTTTTTTTTTTTTTTTTTTTTATTCTTTTACGCTTCGCCGCATTCCTCTATTGATTCCTCGCGAACGTCGAGAGACGCGCGCCGTGCGGCGGCGCCGACGAACGAAGTAGCGCGCCCGTCGTCATATCGTTCGCACGACGGGATTTCATTTGTGACATTTAAATAAAAAAATCGGAGCGATTTCTCGGTTTTTCATAGACAAAAATACGGAGCGCGAGACAGATTCCCCTCCGCATGAGAGGAGAAATTTCTGTGACACCGATATAAAACGCACCGAGAATTCGCGCGCGCCTCTTTCGGCGAGAAATTTTGCAGCAGGTATACTTGTTTGTCGTGACGATTTGAAAACAAAAAATCACGACGAAGGAATTCCGAGGACGACGAGCGTGTGAACTGACATTTTGTTCTTGTTCGGAATTTTGCGGTAAATTCACATTGCGGCGTTTCACGTTCACGTTCGAGCTGACGTTCGAGGACTATTGTCGATGATTGATATCGACAGGTATACACTTATCATTGTTTCGAGAATAAGCTGCTTTGCGCAAATCTGTTTGCATAACTTTGAAACGTTCGGGCGCGCGTTAATTCTCCCGCGTTAAAAATCTCAATTTCACAAAAGCGTTATTTGCGCTGTTATATACACACATATACACTATTGTACATATATGCGTGTTTATCTTCATATTCGAGATATCGGAAAAGATATTTGCGAAGTAATGATATTGCGAATTTACGACTGAGATGCGCATTCCGCGGTGTTGGAATTTCACCGCGCGGAATTCGCGCACTCGTCTTATCAGCGCACACGTTTTTCGATAATTCGTTTTTCGAAGTTCGTTTAATTCGCCGAAACCGATATCACCTCGAATAAGTTCGGATTTTTACGCCAAAACGATTCTCATATTTTTTATTCGCGACACAACATACACATTGGGCGTTGATATCGCATCCGCGGCGCGGTTTTCGATTATTTTCTCTGCTTCTATTATTCTCCGTTTTTTGTATTCGAAACTGCGCGCTGCACCTGCTCCGTTTTTTAAACGCGTAAAGAGTAGAAAGTGCACGGGCGACGCGGAGAAATCTATAGAAGATTGAGAACTTATGAAAACCGCGGTCTTTGTTTTCAAACAAATACTGAACTTTTCTTGTTAGAGAGCCTTACAGAAAAAGTATTGAATCAATTACAACTTGTGTAAAGAAATTTTCACAAAGAAATTTTTCTAAAGATTTTATATATATATATGATAAAAATGATAAAAATAAAAATACAGATTTTATATGTAACTATATATTTGTAATTTAATAATTTTGTACTCTTTGTTGTATATTTTTCATTACACAATAAATATTTTTCTTTCTCATACACACACACGTACACATAGTAAAAACAAACGCGTATATATGCGATATAAAAACAATAAAATGCAAAATTATCATGAAACGTATGTGATAGTTTGTATATTTTCACGTTTTTTGATAAAATAAAATATTCGATTTTCTAACATGTTCAGACAAACAAAAAAGTTAATATAGCAATTGACGTTTGTGTTTGCGCGTAAAAGTTTGACGGAACTCGCTCGCGTTTGGAATTCCATTGAGTGCGTCGAACTTTTTTCACGTGCGTCTATCTTTGTTTGAAAGAATAAGTGTTGTGGAATATGATATTGATAATTAGCTACAATACGTAGGATAATTAGCTACAAGAAATAGGCCGAGTGACTATTCTTTTAGACGTGTCGGATAAGTTTCTTTTTCCGAGCAACATGTTTTGAATTTCTGTTCTCCCGGCATTCTTGGAATTTCTGAATAAACGCTGGTATTTCTTTACCATTCCGTTCTCTCGGAAACATTAAAGTTCTCAACACATTTGTAAAGAGATTGTCTTACTTAAATTTTTTTTTAAGTATCTTTGTAATTATGATCTGTGTCACGTATAAATAGAGTAGTATACGTAATTCTCACTTGTGGACGATATTTTTTCGCAGATTCGTCAACGCTAATATGAGAAATCTCGATCGGCTGTTTCGAGCTCTCGAGCTCCGCAGTCGCGTGTATAATCGCCCGCATACCACGTGCTATTCAGTGCGTATATATATGTATGTGTGTATAGACGTTATATATATGTGTGTGTGTATATACAAGATGTACAGCTCCACCGCGGACTCACAGTCGATCTTCTTTTAGAAAAAAAACTTTTAAACGAGATATACACATTTACTTTATAAATATTTTAATATTTTTTTAATATTGAATATTTTTTCACAAATTCAATCTGTTTCATCTAGAACTACATTTCTGTGTGTTATTGTATTAAAGAAAAGAATTCGAAAGATTGGATTGAATTTTTTTACCGTGAATATAGCAGTGAAATGTAGAAATAAAGAATTTTCTAATATTCGTCTCTAAATGTCATCTTTAAATGTATAAGTTTATACCTACTCGTCAGATAAACAAGTGGAACAAAAGTTTATTACGTATTCACACTTTCTCGACGCAAGACAATTTTCTTCATTTTCTAAATCGAATTTTATATAAATTTGACGCTTGTTAAATAATCTGCGATAACACACAAATCTTGTGACCATGTGAATTTTTTAATATCTTTTTTTATACTCTTCGATAGAAAGAGACTTCTTGAATATGTGATTCGGTCGAACCTTCAATAACATATCGCGTGGGAATCCGTTTGATCGAGTGGTTCGATCGCGTGCGTAACGTTAGTTCAGAGGTGTGAAGATTCACCGTTCTCTCTCTCTCTCTCTCTCTCTTTCTCTGTAGATTACACACCGTTAATTCGACTCTTCTCTCGATAATCGAATTAAAAACGGACATTGTAAGGTTTTCTGACAACAGCAATTCAAATGAATATCTAAATTACATACACAATTGTGTGAACAAGCATCTTCTCTCTTCTATTCTTCTGACAATTAAAATTCTTTAATTTAAAAAATTCTAAATTTGCGAGTAAACAATAAAAGAATTATATTTCGCGGATCTAAATTTTACCTCGACTGCTATTTTAATTGGCGTTCTGGCACACGGAATCTTAATTTACAAACGCGCATTATTTCGAACATGTAATGATGTCACATGGAACTTTCGCGCGATGCATTTTATTTGGACCGTCCTTTCGTTTAAATAACACGGTGACTGACAACGCGTGATTCATAAAGGCCTTTTACACTGTGCACTAACTCATAAAACGAGGAGGAAGAGGCACGGCCGAGAAACGGCACGCCTTTGTAAACCAGATTTATTCTCGGCTTTATCTCGTCGCTTTATCTTGCGAGGAACTCGACAAATATGACAACACATGCGGAATCGGGCGGTGCTTGCAGAAATTCCTGCGAAAATTCTTTTTAACCTAACAAGCAAACAAGCGCTCAAAATCTTGAAGAAAAGACACGCTAATACGATATATTGTATTAAGTTTACGTTTGAAGAAACAAATGATTAACAAGTTGTGAATTTTTGCGCGTGGTTTCCGGCTCGGTTGACTGCGTTCGTACGTTCATTTTTACACCGGCGCTTCGTCGACATTTTCAGCTCGCTTTGTCTCAAGGATTAAGAACAGCCCGATGAAGTTGCGAATGTCTGATCTTTACAATCATAGAAATTCACTTCTCACTATTCCGAAATTTTATGGATGTTTTAAATCTTTTTTTTTTTTAACGTTTTTGAGCGAAACAAAACATCGTCTTAATGTTTAACGAAGAATTATTGAAAATTAACAAAAAGTATTTGAACAAATTAAAAACGAAGAAAAACAAATTTGTTTTGTTTCCACACTGACTTGTGAGAAAAAAGTCTATCTTCTGAAAAACATTTTCTGAGATAAGTCTAATAGCTAAAATATCGGACACAAAATGTCATAAACGGAGCGGAAGAGCGACGGATAAAAGGATGTTTATATTGTTATGATAAAATTGTGATGTCGAGCATATATACACGGTAGTGTTGTGAGAAGTGGGAAAGGCATGCGAGAGGAAGAGATGGAGGAGACCGCGATGCACAAGTAGCAATGGGTTCAAATCGGCGACAATCATTGGATTTTGTTCTACAAAGTTGTTGAGCGCATACAATACTTTTATTAATTTTTAAACACCTGACTGGCTTAATTTAAAAACTATCAGTCGTAATGTTTATTTTGATGACAATATGATAATATTATTGCAGAGAGAAAGAAATCTCTCTCAGTTTTAAATTTCTAAAAATATTTTATAAGAAGATATTTCATGTCATCATACAAACTTTATTTACATAATATTCGATATTTGTGTATGTTATTCGATATGTGTGTGTTTGCGTGCGATTAACGCAATCGATAAGTCGGTCAATCAGCAATAATCCAGCGTGTCGGTCCCATCGCTAGATATGTGGCGAGAGAAGAGGCCCCGCGAGAGAAACGCGGGGGTGGGGAGTCTGCGTAAGGACGGGGGGATTGGGTGGGAGGAGAGGACGGTAAGGGGTCCGCATTCCACAGACAATGTCACGTTTTTTAATCCTCGGTTTACTTTATTTGCGCCGCCTTCGGACTGCGAGAAAGGCCCAAACAGTTAAAGTTTCGACTTCTGTCCCTATACAGAGCACCTCATTCCGTGACGTGGAAACAAAGCGGAACGAGAAAACAACGTGTTCTTGAGGACGAAGGAGACACAGCACCGTGAGGAAGAAGGGTTTAGAATTTGCGAACCGGTCTCAAAGTGCGCGTAAATATTGCGTGAGGTGCGATAGTGCAGAAGAGGAAGCTAAAAGGAAGAAAGAAAGGAAGGGAGGAGGAAGAGAAGTTAGGGCGGACGAAATAAACGGGAGGAGCGAAGATATGTCCGCCGTCGAGAGTGCCTTGGACGTCCTCTCCAGAGCAGCGACAATGGTGCAAGGTCAGTTTATTATACCTTTTGGAATTCCTTCTCGTGATTGTTTAGATCGATCGGAATTCCTGACCATCGGTACATGTTTTTTTTTTTTAATAAAAATATAATTTTTTTCTTCCAATAAAATTTTGTACACTTTTTTATATGGCCTATATGAGTACTTGGAAAGTAAACTAGATAGCAGACCAGATATATGTGAGGCGATTGATGAGTATCCCAAACGACGCTCAGATAGCGAAAGTGTCACATTGCCGTTATCAAGTTTTATTCTTCAAAAAAATAAATATCAAACGCTGGCTCATTATCGCACACAGTGTTTGTGTGACAACTCGCCAAAGTATTTAGCTATTTCGGCATCGATGACTTCATTGTTGCTTGAAAATTTCTTTCAACTGAGCTATTTTTTTTTTTTGGATTCGGAAATAAAAAATAGAAATTGCTCACATCTGGCGAATAAAACGGGTTCGATTCAAAGCCCAACTTGTAGGTTTTGGTCGTTGTTGAACGGTTGAAGCGTGAGCTGTTGCATTGTGTCAAAAATCACTGAGGGCGTTTCTATTTCGGCGAGCTATTTTGTCACACACAAACATACGATAATGAGCCAGCCAGATGGACATTTGTTCTTGCAAAGAATGAAACCTGTCAACGATAAGTCAGACAATGTCAGACGCTGTCGTTTATTTAAACGTGTCGTTTCGGATACTTATCAATCGCTTCTCGCTAATTATGAAAATGCGGCATATATGAAGACGTAACTCAACACGATGAAACGTGATCGAATTCGCGCGGAATGCGCAGACTTCAGAAACAGCTACTTGACATGCTGTCGACACATTCCACGCATAATCTATTTAATAGTCATTCTACATTTCGCGCACGTGTGTGCACACGATGGCGTTAACCAGACTCTTTCGTATGCAAGATGTAGTGTATCGCCGCAGGTATATCACTATTATTATCGCAGGTGCCGCGAGTCATAATGCAATGCGCCATTACCTGACATAAATCCACGATCATAACACACTGTGTTACAATCTCGATATCCATGCCAGTCGTTTTTACGCGGAATCGATCGTACGATCGCGGGTGAGCAATCGCATTCTTCGCTTTGTATTCAATTATCTCTCTTACGAAATCGGGCTTGCGGTATCGATTCAAATACTTTTGCGCAATTATTAAAAAAAAATAAATAAATAAATAAGCGCAACGCCATTGTACAAAGGCAGTAAAATTATATAATTGATGACGACTCTTAAGTTTCAAACCAACAACGCGAAATTTAAACGATCATGAGAGCCTTACACGCTGGATGTTTATTGCGGAACAAATATATATATATGTATATATTTGTTTCTTTTTGTGTAAATGTTTACACGTGAGTTTTGATTGAAATTTCAATTCCTAAATTCATATAGAATGCTATATTTGCATCGTCTATATATGAGAAATCCCCGTTCACCTTTCTAATCAACTTAAAATATTGCGAAAAAAACTCCTCGGCCAGAAATCGAACCTGGAATCTCCGGCTATCCGTACCATAAAATTATATATAATTAAAAAAATTTTCAATAATATTTGAATATATATTTTCTAAAGAAACACAAGATTGCTTGTAAAACAATAGCGATATTAAAAAGATAGATTAAATAATTATATTTTTGGTCATTTTTCGTTACTTCTTTGTGACACTTATAAAACCTCAACAACGCAATTATCTTTTTTTTCAATATAATTACCTGGTTTAAAATATATAAATACATAAAAACACGGCTTGTATCGGGAACTATATTTTCTGTTGATTTTAACTTATAAAACAATTAAATAACTAATATATGTGTGTGTATTTATTTTTAATATTTATATTTATTTTCTTAAATATGTTAACTCTTTAACAACATTAAGATATAATAGGCCGTTTATTGGTGGAGCAGTTGTAGGGTGTTAATAATGAGTTTAATCCTAATCCCATTTAAATACACGTGATGAATAGTATATCCACCATCTCGAAATGTCACAACGGATTTCGCATAGTCGCCGTTTATATAGTCGCTATTCCAAGTACTGTAGATTAACTACACGTGATGCAACCTCAAGTAGCGTGCATTTGCTGATCTTGAGTTTTTATTCTTCGAACGGAGCGAATGTTCTTCATTTCTTCATGCATCAATGCATTTTATTCAAAAAGGATCAAACAAATTGCCGCATTGACAGCTTAATTCTCTATTGTATTTTGCTTTCAATATTGGTTCAATTGAGCAAGAAAATACCGACGTAATCAATTTTACTACAATTGGGTACTTCTAGCAGTTTTCGTACAATTGAAACCACGGGAGCAATCGTGAAGTAAATCACGGTATTTTAATTTGCACATTTTATTGTTATATAATTTATGCACAATAATATAATATTTTGTTAATACGTACACAAATCTGAATTAATATTACTGGTCTTCAGTTTTTTTATTTTTATTTGCAAATGTTTTTGAGGAACAGAAATTTTACTCCCGTAAAAATTTTTACAACCGAGATAGTTTTTTCGTGTAATAAAATAGCTAGTATCTGAGAATGCTGCAAACTTCGAGTCAATGGGCTTTCGTGTGTATGGCTTACGTGTGGTAGTATACGGATAACGAAAGGGTTAAAATAAGCGCTGTGCGCGGCGCTATCAACTGCACAACGCATTCGCGCATGCAGCGCATCGATGCGTCGCGTCAGTTGCATCTGCGTTGCATATACAGGGTTGCGCAGAATTATCGCTCGTCCTACGCGACAAATTCACATATATACGAGTTTCAATTCATGCAAAGTCGAGAGTTTTCCCTAACGAAATTACATTGTCGTATCTTAAATCGCTTAACGATCGCAACATTTCGCGCGCGCACGAGAAGAAATTTGAAAATATATTTACACATCTCTTCTCTCTGCCTTACAGTTCAAAATAATCTTCATATTTTATTTCGCACGTATATTGGTTGCAGAATTTAATTGTATATATGCGCGACTGTAGTTACGAATACAATTTCGTGTAAGAGTGGCTCCTAATAAAATTGCAAGAGAGAAAACGTTGACCAGCCGCGGTTGTCACAACGCATTTTTACAACTTTCGCAACACATGCATGCGAATTTTGTGTCTCTTGACACACCCTGTGTGTATCGACTCTACCTGCGAAAGAGAGACAGAGGAAGAGATCTCACGGGGCGGCCGGGAGAAGGAGAAAGCGAGAAAAGAAGACGCGAGGAGAAGCGCTTGTATCTACTTCATAAATATACGCTTAATTCACGGTATATTCGTGCAAGATATCCCTTCGGTGATACACATGTCGTCGTGTCCTGTGCGTATACATCGCAGAACGGCGTGTGTGTGTGTGTGTGTGTGTACGAGGCAACTTCCATCGGCCCCACGTGGCGGGAGGGAGGAAGGGTGGCGGCGGGCGATGAGTCGAGAGAGGCAGCGAATGAATGAATGAATCTTAAGACAGTCGTGAGAGGGGCATTCACGAAACCGCGAGCGCGCCTCTTTGAGAGAAGACGCGCTTTTTGAAGACTTTCGCGGCTTCTCCACTTCATCATCGTCATTATTGTTGTTTGTCGTCGCTGTCGCACTTTTGTCGTCGTTCTCCGCATTGTGCGCATCGCGAGATCGTCCTCCTTCTCGAGAATTTGTGAACTTTTTTTCTCAGCGCTTCGCGAGTTTGTTCGTACGCACATCGCGTGTGCACACGACATCCCGTCGTGTCCTGAGTTTTGTGGTTTTCGCGATAACTTTTTTGGCACATTTTCGTCTGCTTCGTTTCTTTCTTCCATAACGCGCGTGTTTTTCGATAACGTGCTCTTTTTGCGGGTCGTACGACGATCGATAATTAGAAACGTGATTCTATGTACGTTCGGAAGGTAATAAAAATATCAGAAAAGAGAGAAGAGAGAAAACATCAGCTTGCTTTTCTTATTGTGGAAGAGAATATCTGAAGAAGAGAGATATTTCTACTGTGAAATTACAAACGTTTCTTCATTTTGATGACAAAAGTGTGTGATATTTGTTTGAAAAATGTATTCGAGGATCAATCCTTAAAAAAAATTCGTCAACGAATTGTCGCGCCGCTGGCCAAAAGGATAAACGGTATAAATGGTATCGTTCGAGAAACTTCGATCAAGATTTGCGCCGGAGCGACGCACGAATAACATTCGTTTCTCGCGAAAAGTGTTTCTTGCAAGATACAAACATATTCTGTGCACAGTGTTTTAAAGGCGTTTTTAGCAAATAATTGTCCGACGGGATAAAAACAAATTCATATTATCTCAAGCATTTATTTTATTTAGAAAATCACAACGAATCAAACTTTCGTCGAAGGTTTATGTTTCGTCGATTTGTTCAATTCGTTGCATATGTTGTAAAATTAAATGCAGAATGCGCTTATTGTACTGTGTGTTGTATTATTTCGATTCTGAGCACGTTTTGTGAATTGTGAAAAAAAAAGTCAACTAGATTCTCTCGACAAAAAGCAATAGTACGTTCGGTGAATATTGATATTTTTTTTCTCGGCGCGATCTTGCTCTGTCAAGTGTCCGTTTTGGTACACGCTTTCGTGATTGATGATCTCAAGGTCGGTAAAATGGAGATTCAATCCAAGAGACGGCATCTTTGGCAGCCATGGCTTAACATCAGTGATCTTCGACTACTTGCTCGCAAAGTGGAAGGTAACGTCACTTCGCGCGTAATGGAAAATACCGAGGATGTCTAAAATAAAATACAAGAGAAGACATTGCTCACTTGCTCTAAAATAATAAGTTCTGTGAGGAATTTTTTTGTCGCATTTTTTTTTTTTTTTTTTTTTTTTTACCGAATCTAGATGTCTTCTCGTGTGATCGGCGAAAAGATGACAAGATATTGTAGTATTGCAGTTGACTTACGTAACACTATCTGACAGGAAACTTCAAACTACCGGGAATGAATAGCATTTCATAAATGCCAGGCGTTCCAAGCGCGTCAAGTATTTCGGAGTCGTTAGAACATTAAGAGTTTTGGACACGACAAGAGTTTTAAGATAGACCGTAAAATCACATAAAAATCTCACATCCGTTTGAAGAATATTATCCGAAAAGAATTTTTACGATAAGATTCCGGTGAAAGAAAGTCGCGTGATGCGACGTAACTTGTTTAAGTTTACGAATTAAATTTATATAATCAGAAATTTTATGTGAATGGCCCGCGACTCGCGCACGAAAAATATCTTATCCGTTTTAATTTGAAGAGGCTTGGTATTAGTAGGAGAAAAATTGTGAGCCTCACAAAATGTTTGCTAGATAAGATGTAAAAACGAGGACAACTGGTTGAGGAATTATCAGACTACTCGGGGGTCGTCAAATTACTTAGAAATCGTTAAATCCGGAGATAAGAGTACGATACAGGCTCGTTCGTTAATTATCAACGGAACATATCGAGAAGTTAACTATCCTCGCGCGTTTCTCCCGTCCCGTCCCACCTCCTTCTTTGGTCCATTCATCTTTTCCCTGGTGTACGCGACTATAAACCAGTTTCACCGTCTTCCTGGCGATCCTCTCACGGCTATTAGGCACTTCCTGCCCGTCCTGGGAACCGAACTCGTTTTTATCACCCTCCTTCTTCGTCCTTCGTCTTCCTTAGTCTTCTCCTCTTCCTGTTCTCTCTCTCGCGATCGAAACGCGAAAAAGATCGTCGAATTGACTTTCCAACTTCAGATATATCTCGAATTGCTTTGCAATTTCGCAGATTTAGACCAATAAAGCCAGTCAGCATTCCGCGTCGAATTGTCTTAGTCTTCTCATAGGCGTATAAGAAATACACCTGATATCTCCAACCATAGACTGTACGGAACGTGTTCGCGTGCACAAAAAATTTGAGACATTTATTATCGATTGATATCGAAATGAACTAAATTCACAAGCAGACTGGTTTCTTTTTTCTTCTCGCGAATATATCACTAGATCTGTAGACGACGAGAGGGCAAAAAGGACAGGATTTTTGTATCATTGTGAAAACATTTCAAATTTGTAATAAGAAGCGACAAAAGCTACAAAAGCCATCGATGTTTGTTAAAATAAATTACAATAATCTAATAACGGATTATTTGCAAAAGTTTTCTTAATAGATGATCAAAAATATGTACATGATTGAAATATTCAAATAATCTGTTAGAGCATTTATTCATTAATTCACGAACACCGATGGCTTTCGCTTCTTTTGTCTTTAATTATTAATTGGATTCCACAATTTAAAAGAAGCATTATACTCTTAATCACTTCAAATTCCTACGGTGTAAATATTTAAAAATAGCCGTTAGTACGTATGGTATAGCCTTAATCTTAAATAGCTTGAATGCAGATAACTATAAAGCACGTTAAAGATACATAAAAAAAAAAAAAAAATACATTCCATGTTCGTTCTGTTTGTTTTCTTTCCTATTTGTTCTTTTTTTTATAATCGAAATTAGAAACATATGCTATCTTCATTTTCAGAAATAATTTTCTTTGTCATAAAATCTCCGAATCCGTTGTCAAAATATCTTGGTTTTTCCAAGAAGTTATTGTGAAAAAAAGAATCAGTTACTCGGAGCATTTTTTACTGGAGTGTGTACAAACGCCGGCACTGAGTCAATAGAGCAGAAATTTCCATCTACTTTTTTTACATTGTTAATATTTGAGTTAACAAATGAACGCGTTTGAATGTTACGTGTGCGAGATCTTTGAAATATGAAATATGAATGCATAAAAATTCACAAACTTTGACAATCATTGTAGTTATGTGTGATTTCATTGATAATTCTTGTTGACGATGTCTTTCTATTGACATTTTCGCTGTTTTCAACATATTACAGAGGAGAGACCAAAGGCGACGAATTTACATCGAAAGCCGAGTAGTGCGTGGCGCAAAGAACGCAGAAGAGATCCTATTCAAAGCGAAGCATTGGACATGTCGCATCACAGCAGACCAAGCGTCATCGTCTCTACATCGCCGCAGAACGGTGAGTAATCGCTAATCGATGTCGAAAACTCTCGTCTAAAAAAAAGAAATGTTAGATTATAAAACCTTCATGTTAGATCATAAAAGTTTAAAGAGGCAGAAATCTTAAAGTTCAAGCGATGACATATAAAAGATATAAAAGAACTTTTGTTGGACAAAAAGAAACAATTTTGCAAAAAACTTGAAGCGATCAAAAATACAAATATTTTTAAATTTAACTTTACATATTGACAATATCAAGTTTCATTATAAAGGGAGATCCTAGATATCTTTATTACATTATAAAAACTAATCAGAAGAGCTAAAAAAATTTATATGAATTTTTATCATATAAAATTTGCAAAAAATAACTTATATATTTTTCCCTTGGTAAAAAATAAATTGTCTTACAAAACTTTGATAAAGAACAATCTTATCATCGTTACATGTACCTGTAACGAAACGGTTTGTAAACAACAAATTTGTGATTAAATGTGCTCTCGAGTATCGTACATTTCACACACATTTTCTACTGTTCGCTAAATAAATGGTACCCTCACGTTGTAGAATTGTTAAGCGTCTCGCGTTTTCTCTCGGATCCCTATTGTCATACAGGGGTATTCTGTATTTTATGACAATGCATCGTCCGTTGCACCGGGATGCCGCAGATGCGACCACTTCTTTCAATAGAAATTTGCTGTTTATCCCGAACAACAATGGCATTCCATCGTACTTATAAGCTTCCCTGAGATAGAGAGAGAAAGAGAGAGAGAGAGAGAGAGAGAGAGAGAGAGAGAGAGAGAAAGAAAGAGAAAGAGAGAGAGAGAGAGAGAGAAATAAAATAAATTTTCATTAATTACAAATATCTAAATTTTGCGACACAAATAGATCTCTATTATTTTTTTCAAATTAATAAATTTTTATAAGCGTTTCTTTAAATAAAAGTAATTCATAAGTATTTTAATATTCAGAATTATTTCAAAGAAAAAAATGCTTAGCGTTTATTATAATTTTATCATAATAGAACTTGTTTTTTTTTTCGAAATTGCTTAAAATTAATTAACGCGAGATACAACAAAAATATAAATAAAAAATAAAATAATAAACAAAAAAAATTTGGAAAAAATGTTTTTTTCTAGGCAACACAAATGAGGACAAGGTTGTGAAGTCCACGTCGACGCGAGTATCCACTAACTCTTCGTCGAGGAGTACCGGATTTAGGACGCCCGGTGGTGCCAGCGATCCCGAGATCGAAGCGCACTTCAAACGATCACTCGGTCCGAAAAAATATGCTGCCGTTTTTAACGTTACTACCAATGACAAAGATACAAGTCCGAATAATGGTAAGTAATCGGTATTGAGAGAATTCAGCCTTGGCTGAAAAGAATTTTCGATGATTCATCAGCAGCCTAGCATTAACATAGAGTCCAAGCATTGGCTCACTGAATACGAAATATCGTTTTTGTAACAAATGATTTGAATGAAGAACAAAGTGCACGCTATTGAATCAACTTGATAAATTTTTAATAGTTACCTTAATAACTTTTTCTTTAAAAATGTTCGATATTTCGTAAACAATAACCAAATGAAACAGTGAACGAACCCAATTAATTTTGTTCCTCGGTGATATCCTTGGTTCCTTTGATGATATCCTCGATACTTGGATTAAGCCAGTGTAGATCTGGACTCGTTCCAGGCTGTGGACCAGCCTGTCTTATACGTTCTTTGCGCAGCTGACGCAGTTGACGATCACTTCGCGAAAGCGCTCGGCAAGGACTGGAAGCAGATTCAAGCGACGGTTCGAAAGAAGGAGTCCACATAACCACCGGACAAATTTGCCAGGAATCTTGTCGAAATCCTCATCGTCGTTTAATATTACCGCGTTACAACTCGTTCGGGGTTGAAATCGTTCCAGTCTCGCTCGCTATTTGTGTACTAGGTAATAAGTTATTGTCGTTAAGAGTTAACCGAATTCTCGCGTCTGCATTCGAAGAATCTGTATCGAAGCAAATAAAGTTAAGTGACTTAAACATACGCTGAAAATTGAACTGTCAGGCGGTACGTTCTCGTTAATATTCACGATTCGCTCTTTGTCTTCGAAGTAGTAGAACTTTATTGATGATTAAATTAAAAGTTAACGAAGTCAATATTTCAAGTAATAAACGCACGATAAAATAAGAAAAAAAAATAAAAAAAAAAAAAAAACAATTTAATCATATTATAAAAAATATTTGTTTGTATAAATTTGCTTATTATCAATCCTACGTGAAAATTATCTTTTTTTATGTATATAAAATTGAAAAAAATTTTTATTTGCGTTTAAAGCTTGTGGCATACACGATGTGGCATAACAATGTTCTTTTGCACATGCTAGATCGTACGAGAGCAATAGAATCGATCAATTGCGAATCTGGTATAGAGAAAAGCATTGTGTGCCGCGAACTCAGATTAATTTTGTTTTTATTTTTATTAAACATCTTTCTATACTTCGTAATTTCAATTTATATATTGTTTTTTTTGTTTGTTTAAATTCTAACTGTGTCGTACTTTGTCTTAATTTGTACGTACCGCATTGTATAAGGAGGATATCAAGTGTCCTTGATCTTCTCGCTTTTCAACTGGTCTCCTTGTCGTCGCTTTTTGAAACACGCGTGTAATAAGACGCCAGGAAGACTGCTACGCGCTGTATTTTGTACAGTAAATGCACGTTGAACGAATTTGATAGTGTTATTGTATATATAGGCACGTATTTCCTTAAATGCCATCGCCAGTCATTATCATATAGTTCCGAGTTGCGTACGAATATGAACTCTCTCTTATTTATTATAACATTTCACGTATTTCCTCGCAAAGTAATGTAAGTTTATTATGTTATTTACGTGAACGTGTGCGACAATATGTACACTCGCGAACGATGATGCGTCCCTTCCTAATAGAAACAAATACGATAATGCGAGTGCTATTTTGTAATTTGATCGCGTAAAATTTTTGTTTTTAGACGAATACCTGATATTTGCAGGTCATAATTATTTTATATTCGGAACAATTTTCTGAGATTTTTTTCAAGAAGAAACATCTAAATTAACATTTAGATGTATACAAGAAATTTTGTATGAAATGTCTCGCGTTATAATTGTAATAATATATTTTTACAAATTATATCGTTCATCTATAGATAATATAGCTATTTAAAAAGAGTTTAAAGAATTAAGACGCGCTTAATTGTTTTTTTTTTTTTTTTTTTTCAATTAGGGAGATTGGATCATTATCCGCGAGTATATTGTATAGCGTTTCTATTTCTTACGAATGAAGCTCGTAAGAGACACAGCTGATAACTTTAACACACGCATTAATTATAAACGCCATATATCACATCTTCATGGTCATAGTATCGTATTTGATAAAGACAAGATTCGTATACTGTAAAAATCAAACAGAAGAATGTGTAAAAAAATAATATCAGTGATAAACAAACAAGATAAAGAGAAAACCACGTTATATTCGCACAGGTGTATTAATTTCCGCCCAAATTTTTTTCCCGACTCCAAACACGATCGCACGACTGTACACGCAATGGTGAAATGAAGAAATGATCATGCCCCGCTTTCCGATAAGCTGCCGAATGCTAAGAAGAGTAGTACTGATTTCTAATGGTGCTAGGAAGTCCAGCGCATACCCCAGCACGCACAGAAGTCAGTACCTCTACCTTCTTATATGAGGGCATTTTTATATCACTTTTTCGAAATCGCAATAACGTTAACCGCGCTGCGCAAATCGACGAAGTTTTCAAGCAAAATTATCGCAAAAGGTCAAGAATTCGCGAATCTAATTATCGTTTATCTCACTTGCCTCAAATTTTCTGTAGTAGTTAATTCTGCAAATCTGATAGAGACAATGAGGAGAAAAACGTGGCTAAACATCGATATATCGCGATGCTGTCCCCGGGCGAACGAACGAACGTACGAACGATGTTATACGCGAGGTGGTGTTTATTCGTAGGTGGGCCCAGACGGATGGGACAGACTGTCCCAGGAGCGCTCGGATGGCTTCCTATATGCAGGCGGCCTGTTCACTTGCCGTAAAGCAAAGTGGTAACTTAATATTGGGGCTGAATATAAGTACGGTAATCCCATACCAGAGTGCAAAGTAAGTCTACACCTTGTATCCCGCCCGTCCTCCTCCTCCCGCCTCCCTCTCTCGTGTCCTCTCAGTCATCTCCGGACCCCCGTTTCCCTCTTACTGCGGGATACTTGGAGCGTAATAACGCGACGGGATACTAGATATCGGCTGTACTCTCCGTGCTAAGTGCAAATTGCCACTACCCTTTGTCTTCTATTCTAGTCTCACCCGCAGTCTCTTTTCATATTCATCCTCTCACTCCCTCCCCCTATGTGCGCGCAACGAGGATTTTATTGTGATTCGTCGTTTGACACCCGGTATACAGTTTGGCATACGGAAACAATCGCGTAATTGTGCGATGAACATATATAGAAATAATACGTATAACTATTGAAGTACTCTTTGCATTTCAAAAAATTGAATTCTATTTATGTGTAGCGGTTTGTGTGTCTCAATAGCAGATTCGGTATTTCGACGCACATTTAATATTTGTGTACATAGTAAAGAGAAACTGTTTAACTGATTTTATCTGATTTTTTTCTCAAAAAAAAAAAAATTATTAATACACAAGTAAGTTTTGTAAAGTGACAGCTGCTTGTTGTATGTTCCTGCGTGATAAATTACGTAATTATGCAAAAGACCATCTGTGCCGTTAAAACGAGTTGTTTCGTTTATTCCTTTATAGTCTTTAAGCGATTTTTAACGAAATGCGAGACAGGTGTCCTCAAAGTGCATCAGCCTTGAGGCTAAGGCCAACTACATTATCCATATCTACGGATCTCTTTATACATCTCTTTTACGCTCTGTTTATAGCGTCAACGACGCAAAGATTTTTATAATGATATACGTAAGATGCGCTGTAAGAAAGATTATATGACAGAGAAACCGCTGTAAACAAACTAGAAAAACATTTCGCTCAAAATAATTTTTAGATTTGTAGATTATTCGTTGTACTTTTGTAAAAACGTCGTTTGCTTGTAACAGAGTGAGCGCTATTATTCACCTCACTATTTTTTTTTTTTTTTTTTCTACTCACAGTCTAACTCGTATTTCGAGGGGTGTTGAGATAAAAGGGATGTATGCTTTCCAGAACGCGTCATAATTTATAATTAATCGGCGCGCACGCCGTATTTCCAGGACACGCAGCTGGAAATGGGCCAGTAGATCACATTAGAGCAGATGCTTGAGTAATAATTTTCCAACAATGCGCAGGTGTGCTCAAAATATCGGAAAGAAATATTGACCCTAAGGCTGTGAGGCAAATTCCAGGTACGTTTGTAGATTTTTTCAAAAATCTATACCTATATATATATATATATACATAATAGTTTTTTCAGTATGAGAAATGTCGAATGTGAAAACTATAATAAAAATTTTAAATGCACAAAAATCACTTGAAACATTTAAAAACCTTAAAACATTTGTAAACAATAAAAAGCACAAAAAATAAAAATCTTATTTTAGTTTATATTCTTCGCACACTACTAAATATTTTCTATCTTTCGTAAAACGTTCATGAGTTTTCAAAAATTCTGCAAATTGAAATAAACAGTTCAAAACTAATCTGATCTAAGTATCAACTCCATGAGAATGAGACACGGCTCCAAAATTTTTTTCTCGTGCTCATTTTGTGAGAAACTCAGAAACTACAACTTAATTATTTGCCAAACATTCTTATTTAAATCTACAACGTAAACATTTGTCAAACATTCTCTAAATCTACAACTTAAAAATTTGTCAAACATTCTTATTACTTACATCTACATTTTTCTCATAACACAAACACAATTCTCAAAAGAAAAAGAGAGAGATAGAGAAAGAGTAAATAAAATGTTTTAACAAAATTAACAAGTACTAAAATGATGTCTACAAGCAAGCAAAACAATTTCGAACTAATACAAAAGTAATATTGTCAAAGAAACCTAATATTTAATAAGTAACTGTACTTTTTTATATAGTTTTTTAACTTTATAATTTCTGCTATTACATTACATATATTACACATATTTATTTCACTGTGAATGGTAAAAAGTGTGAGAAAACGCAATTAAAAAAAGTACTAAACTTGTGATAAGTTTTTTCTGACACATTTCTCGAATGTTACAAAATAAAAATTCTGAACAGTCATTATCAATAAAGCAATAACTTTGTGTCTAGTAATTTTTACGTCTCGATTACAATTGAAAAGTTATATTCAAAAAATTATATTCAAATGCTTTTGAAAGATACTCTAAAAAATTTAATACAAACACTTTCTGGTTTGAAAATGTCGGAAAATCGATGTTGCGCACTTGGCAATGACTACGGAGTTATTATTTTGGGCACTTACGTGTCGAATGGAGGTGATCGATAAGCTTGTGTATCGGGAGCCGATCGCGTACTAAGTCTCTATCGTCTGCGGAGACGCGACACGTTACCATTTGTTTATTACAGGTCTCTCAGGCGTATCTCGTTTCGGAACCAGATCCGGCCGACCGCAGGCCGGCTTCGTTTTTCCGTTTACTTCTGTTACGTTACTCGCACGTACCGCGTCAACATCGATACGGAAAAAAAAAAAAAAAAAAACAAAATAAGGACAGAAAAAAAGGAAGTTGAAGGTGAGACTAAAATAGAAAGGAATATGTTTTTTACATAGATATCTAGAACACGTTGAGACTGAAAACATAAAAATGTTTTTGCATTAAAAGTCAATTTAGGAATATTTATAATAGAATTAGAAAAGAGAGCACACACACCGGAAACAGATGCGGTGAAGAGTAGCGCACGTCACGAATTGCTTCCCCTTCGCATCGAAATTCCCGATCAAGCCCACCTTCTCTGTACGCACATCGGGTTGTCCTGCTCGGACGCGTCGAGTCATCCTATCACCGAAACAGCCCCCTGATGTCGTAAATTCGGTCGATTACTATCCATGACTTCTTGACAAATAAGTTATATAATCCGTGATCTTTTGATTGCGATGTGTGGATCAACGTTATATTGATTGAATCTCTCTCTTTTCATGTCATTATCCTATTTTTCATCATGATCTTTTCTCTCTTAGTTTAATTGAAAGGAAAGATGGTAGCATCTTTCTTTATTACATTCTGACGTTCGAACAGATGCGCATTTTTGCACATCTTCCGAACTTCAATTACAATCAAATAAACAACAAGATCCAATTTTGGCCGCTTTTAAAGGTTTTCATTAAAAAAATCTGTTCTAAATCAAGCAAAAAGCAAAAGTAGTTTATAGATGAAAGAAAGCGAACGTTAAAACACAGCGAGATATACGAGAGTTTTAGAGCCTGACGTCACAGAAAGCGCGCGTGTCGCATACAAATTTTTCCTCGTACACGCGCGTTTTTTTTTTTTTTTTTACCGAGTCACGCCAATTCTACGAGTGGAAAAGTTCGCTGTCGTTTGCTATTTACGTGTAATCGATCTGCACGCGTCCCTTTCGTAATCCCATTACAGCGTCTGTAGCCCGCGCCATAGGCTTCGAGCGGGCATAACGATTGCGCAAATCCTTCCCGCGCCGGATAGTCCTTTCGAACACAGTCGAAGATTTATCTCGTAACAAAGGGAAACGTACATTATTGCAATAAACATTGAGTCTTAATTTTAGATTCAATCGTTTGCGATTTTTTCACGATTCTCATTACGAATATTAAATCAATATCTTGATTTTCGATTCTCTCGAGTCTTCAAATGTTTTGAACTGCATTAATATTTTTTTGTTACGCGTTTTTAGTTTTTTAATTTTATTTTATAGAACGCGATTTTAAAAACGTTCATTGATTTTTACAGTAAGCTTCTCTCACAAAATTCGACTTTGTTCCGGATATAAATAAATGTTTATTAAAATAAAATATTACTCTGCTCAAATAGAGAACATCGAAACATGGAATGTTCGCATTAAACAAGTTTATTCGGACCGCTGAAGCATTCAGAGAGATCGGCGTTGATTATATCTTCATTGAAAGCGACGCGTGGTTTGGAACGCGAACGATATTCGCGGGCTGATTCACCCTCCGATCCCATTCATTCTTACTGTTACTATACCTCGTGGCGGGAAAGCGCGCAGTCGCGTTCGTCCACGGAGGGTGCTTCGTTTCGTAAATTATTTCATCGTAGTTTCCACGAGTTTCAATTACAAATTCAACGAGAATTTAATCAAACAAATGTGCGCATCAAATTGGTGCACGTGTTACGTCAAATTTCAAAAGCTTCAGAATTGTGCGTATACGCATGTATGAAAAACGTTATGAAGAAAATTAATAAAAAATAATTTCTTAAATAAAACATGTACCGTGAATTTTCAACTTTTCAGTCTTTCAGCAGAAATGTTCGAGACACAATAATATAAAAAAACATTAAGAGTCACCTAAAAAATCCGGAAACACTCAGAAAAAAAACATAAAAGTCTAAAGAAGATATTTAAATTGTATTCAATTATTTGAGATATTTTTCAAAAATGTTCACACATATCTCTCCCTCTCTCTCTCTCAATTTTTTTCATTTTGCCGCGCGCGAAAGTCTCTTCACTTTTATCCGAAAACACAAAGTTTTGAGCGTGCAAACAGAACACGAATACAAAATACGAGTCAAAGTTAGTAACAATTCTTGAATTGGAGATTGCGATGTCAGCGTCACGCGAAATAAACGTTTCTTGATCTGGTTGTGCGAGAAGAACGCGACGATTCACCCGTTACACGCTTTTCCGCATTATGTTGCGCGCGGGAAAACGAATCCACCCGAATTGACGCGACGGTTTCAACGCGCGGCCGCTTGATAATCGGAAAACTCCGCTAACCGGAAGTGGCCGCGTCGCCGCCGGCCGGGAAAACACGCGGCGACGCGACACCGACGTGACTGTTCGTTTACGACAGCGCGAATACCTCGGACACGACTGATCGAGTGACCGAGGGGGTAGCATCGCGGGGTATACCCCTCTTCGTCACGCGAGAGAGCGCGCGCGCGCGCGCTCACTTGTACGTATATAGAATTGCGCGTGTGTCGGGGCGATATGTGTGAGTATTACTGCTCTACGTCGTCATACACCCGGAGGCTCGTCCCCCATGCGCTTCGAGAACGAGGCGGTCGAGGGAAGAGAAGTGCGCTACCGGAGAGTGTGGGGCCCCCCTCATCCCCCTCGCTTGCTCCCTCCGTCATACGACTTTCTTTCGCCGGTCTCTCTCTCTCTCTCTTTCTCTCCCTTACTCTCTTTCCATTCCGCTGCTCCCCTCGTAAGAGGCCCGTCTGTCCCCCTCCCTCAACCCCCTTGTGCACGCTCTCGTGTGCGTGAATCATGCATATCGATTTTCTTTCGTTAGAGCAAGCGAGGGACGTTCGGCGTTCGGTAGCCGCTCACGTACGGCCGCGCTGCTTCCCTTTTCTCTCCCCCCCTCTCTCGTTCTCTCTGTCTCTTCTTTTTCTCTTACCCCACCTCCCTCTTTCCATCTGACAGAGAGTTCGGGGGACCGTGTCACGGGCGAACCCCCTTCTGGAAACACATACGCACGCGGTACCTGATTCTTTTCGTACAATAGCCCGTGGTTCTCACTTTCTTTCTGTCCCCCTGCCCCCCTTCTCTTCCTTTTCTTCTTTTCTCCCGCCCTCGTCCTCTTCTCCACGTAGCCCCTTCTCGTCGTGTCGCGCGAAGCCCTCGACACTCTCTTCCTGATTCTCCGACAATCTTTCATCTTTTTACCCCTCTTTTCCCTCTGTCCGTACATAATACTGTTTTGTGCCCCAGCGATATATCTTCGCCAGACACGCGCAAAAATTTGGAAATATAAAAGCATTGGTCTTTTAACGCACAATTTTCTCAGTTTTAACTTATACACACACGCCATTTATTTATTTTGGACTATCTATTTTTAAGAGTTTTTGTTTTAGAAAAACTGCCAATAATCGCGAAAAAATTATAATTTCACTATTACAATATGTAATAATTTTTTGTTTTTACAAAGATACCCCTTCAAAGATTGTTAATTAAGAGAACTCTAGGATTTCTCATGTTCCATTCGCGCAAGCGCATTCACTTTAAAAAACATCGCCGACTCATGAAGTTCTAGTTGAGAGAGAAGCGGTATAAAGTACGAGGGGGTTGCGCCCGCGATGGAACCAATAATTGTTCCCTCCTTCCCGTCTGTTTCTTCCGAGCATCCTTTTCTAGTACCTCCCCCATTTTCGTGGCATGCTCGATAATAAACTTCTTTTGTTTTCGAACACCCTCGTCTATATTGTCGCTCGTTCTTTGCTTTCGCTTCTTATATAGGCGACAACAAAGCGAGTGCTCGCGCGCCCTCGACGAGCAGACAATTGAGCCTCTGCTTGAATCGGTGCCGCAGCCACCGCATTTTAACTAAAACTCTAAGCCAGAAACATTCACTTAGGTTCGTCTCACAGTTACCCCAAAACATTGACAGTTGATAATTTGACAACTAGTCTAAAAGTTAAGGAAGTTCATTCAACACAACGGTTGTAATCGCGACACATTTTTTTGTACATCTAAGGAAAATTAATGTATAACATTTTGCCTTGCTTTAAAAATCTTTCATATCGGTATTATTTTTCCTTCTTTTTTTTTTCTTACAATTTTGCTGACAAACATAAACATGTTTTATGTGTTTTTCTAGAAAATACAATGTTTTTATACAATTAAGATAAAAAAATATAATGTGTGCAAGAGCATAATGCAATATAAAGATATAAATGAATAACGCTCGTTAAAACTTCAAACAATTAAAAAAAGCTATACGAGCGATATAATGGATTTTGTTGTATCATTTTTTTCTTATCGAAGCTAATGTAAAATTTAAAATTACAAAAACAAGTTGCATATCTCCGAATTAAATTGTCAAAAGATAAAATTATGTCAAATAGAAAACACATAACAATACTAAGCACTATGTAACATAGTCAAAAACTGCTGGTGACATGCCAAATATCTGACTAATATATTGCTCATATAGTCTTTTTCAATTGTTTAATATAAATATATAATATAAAGAAAAGACATTTTAAAATTAATCATTGTATATATACAGACATTATTTAGGATACATTTAGGAAGGAAAATGCGAATTGCCCACAAATTATAAATAGTCCCTTTAATAAGTAAACATGATAAGAGTATGGCGTGTTTTAACATGAGATAGAAATAACTTTATATACAGACGTACGATGTAGAATAATATACAATTTTATACAGTTGCAAATTTTTTCTTCGATAAAAAAAAAAAAAAAAAGAAAGAGTCGATCTCTAGAAATGAAATTAAAAAGAAAAAAAACAAATTTCTCTAAATGTCCGAAGCTGTCAAGTTTGCTGCGTGAGTAATCTCTTAAAGAAAATTGCTAAATAAATAAATAGGTACTACTCGATCAAATGGCACAAACAAACTCTAGAGTAGACCAACATAAATATTGTACAATTAAGTATATAAACGTCTGTGTTAAATTATTACATTTTGAACTGCTCGTATCGATTTCTCCGAATTTCATCGCGTTTAAAGCACGTCATTTGTAACTTAAGTAAAGTGTGATGTACATTGTGTTGTTACTATGTAATATTGTGTAGTCTCGAATGTTTTGTAAAAAGAACAATTAATCTATCTAATCAGTGTAGCTTAAAATGCAAGTGGAATGTTTCATGAACCTTTGTATTCTTTTTTTTTTTTGTTTTTAGAAGATGATCACAAGTAATTTATGAGATTTCCTTTTTAATATTATCCTACGTTAATATCAACGAAAGTAACAATCCGAGTTGAAAACTCGGTTATGCAGTTGAAATATATAATCGTACTTTTTGGCCACTAGATCACTTCAAATAGCAGCGCACATGCGGAAAAGTTCTACATCACATGTCTTTCCATGTAATTTGTATTCGGTGGTAATGTGTTCAGTATAATTTATTTCTACACACATATATCTATCTTATATTTGTTAGTATCTTAATCAAATAATAAATTTTTTTCTTTAAAAGATCTACACATCTTATCTACTACGCGTATAATCTCTTATATTTTATTTAAAAAGTTTAATAAATTGCTGAAGAAGTTATGATCGCGAGACGTTCCGTTAAATTTGACACACTAATTGATTGTATATTGAACAATCAAAGAATTATTTTATACTATATTTTACATATTGTTTCTTCTGACATCTATTTATTTGTTTGGAAAAATTCAAGTTTTTTCTTATTATTATGTTATACGTTTGTGAGCGTCACAACGAGAAAGATCAGCTTGGAACTTTTCCGACGTGCGCGTCGTTGAACGTATAAATCGTCGATATATGAAAGCGTATGACTTTCGTTTTGTTCCCTGTCGCAAGCTTATAGGTGCAACGGATGTCCGTTGCAATGGCATACATGTCCATCTCGTATCTGCGGCTTAGAGGACTGTTTGAAAAGAGTAAACATCCAGTAATGTCTCAATAAGCGTAGCGATTAACGACTCATTAACCCATTGAGCTCGCGATAAGCTGCTATCACGTTCTAACTTACGTACTGAAATATGATTTTTCGGGTTTGGTATCTTAGCACAGATATTTCACAGAACATCAAGATGTATGTGCGCACTTTGTGAGAATATTCGACACTTTGCATTTATCTTATATAAACATGATAACAGTGATAACAAAATCAAATAAAGGCAAGTTGTACTTCTCCAAAACTAAAGTAATTATCTGGTATATGTGGCATAACAAATATGCTCTTTTCGGCATATGTCTCACACTTTCCGTTTTGCATTCAGTTGACACAGCAGTAAATCTAAAAAGCTGCAAAAAATACAATAATTGCAATAATAAAAATCTTCTAAACTCACATGTGTATACACACACACACACATATATATATATATATATATATACATTAAGTACATATTTCTTCGCAAAAATATAGAGTGAACAAAATTATTGTAAGAGCCCAATGGGTCGAAGAGATAAATTTTTAAATATATATATATGTTTCTTTTTAAGTTGGACGCTTTTGTACGCGCGCGCACGAGTAGTTCCTTAATATCGTAAGTCTCTAAGCTACCAAAGAGAAGTAATATCTTCCTTAAAGATCGGTCGAAATCGATACTTCTAATCGCATAGATTGTTTCGACCGTGCTGGTCGTCGCTCTCGCACCATTGCATCCGGACATCAGTCCGTTCTGTTCTTCCATCAAGACTTAGCTTTATTTTTACTCCTCACTCTCGGCGATACCGAATAGAGTTTCCTGAAAATTGTCACTAGATCGTTCTGCGGGAACAGTGTCTCGGCGATACCCTCCAACAGTACGTATAACAGTCTTCTATTTAATACGGGCCGCTGAAACAATTCGAACACCCTCAACAAACCGCATCTCGTCGTCTCGCTGCCTATGATATGTTTTAATTCGTCCGAGAGACACGAAAGCAAAGCTACTTTAGCTGCCACTCGCGTTCTGTTCTTCATCTCTGTGTCTCGCGGCGGTTTACTCTCGGCCTTCACGCCATTCGGCCAAAAACTATTTCTGCGAAACGTTAAATAAAACTCATATGTATTGCAAGTTGTAAAATTATACACATACTACTTCACACGTTATTGATATATACACTTGTGCCGCTTACTTGAACAAACGTAAATATCCCGCAACTTTTGATGGGCTAGTTAGAAACGACACATATTCCACTATTCTTCTATTTACTATATCTCCAAACATCGTACGGATTATTTGTCGCAGTAGAGTTATAATTCGCCGCCTTAGCCATTGATTTCGCACTTTTAAATCGAAGATCTCGTCCATTAACAGTAGCATAATTCGCAATGGAATGTTATCATCGGTCTAAAAACACCAACGATTGTCCCATCGACTTGTTAAAAAAAGATATACGATATAAATGTTGCAAAGTAATAATATATGAAAAAATACTTCTGTATCGAGACCAGCGCCGACTTTGGTATTTTCGTAAAATATACTTGATTTCTTAGAATTGCTGAAGAGTTTGCTCAGATTGTCCATCACACCGTCTACCGTACTTAACATGTTATCTGGCATCGTTTTTACTGCTTGCGTAACATTTTTCATGGACGTCTTTAAGGGGTTCATTAAAGTATCTATCTGTAAAATATATCACCAAGTAGTTGTTAGAATAATTACAAAAATAAGAATTATAGAGTATTGCATATTAGATTGGAGTGTATATATTAAATTATTTTTATAAAATTTAATCCATATGTATAGCATAAGCAGATAAATATTTACTGTTCTTGATATCTGTCCGCCAGTGACTCCTTTATCGTAATCCCCTTGCTCCAAAAAGACTAGCAACAAATTCTGCAGTCCCATATGTCCGTCCATGACCGCGGGTCTCGTTAGTTGGCACAGCCAAGCGTTCAGCATCAACATTCGTCTCTCCAAAACTGTGCGCTCCATATTGTGAAAAGCCTTTTTCGCGGGAAAAGGTATTTTTGCCAAGTCGTAATACTTCTCTTTGATTTTTTGATGCAGATCGTAGAAGTCGGAATATCGCCTGTAAATGTGCCATTTCTCCTTGTAACCCGAATCGTAATGTTTCGTAACCGCCACTGCGTATATGCCGTACGTTTTTCCGCGATCGTTGACAATACCAGTCTCTATAATTGTAGCAGTAATTTCGAAGTGACCCTGCTGCAATTTCTTGATCGCGTTTTGATCGTAGTTGGTCTCATCTAGCTTGACAAACTGCTCAGCGTTTGTTTCTACATCAAAAGGAACGTCCTTTTTCTCACCGAGTTGCTCGATCGATGTAATGGATCCTTTACGCGTGTTTTTCATGCCTTTGAGATTGCTCATGTCCGTGTCGACTTCATCAAACGCTCTGCCTTCTTCGTTTACTTCTCCTATGCTCGTCAAACTTGTCGAGGAATTCGATTTCTTAGTACCTTCTTTCGCGACCGAGAGTTTCGTATCGTCGTTTTTGTACGTTTCAGATAATTCTTCTAAAGTATCTAATTCATTGTTTGTACTGGACAAGCTTATGCTGTCCAAAGATTTTGCGTCGTCTTCGGACACCGGATCTTTCAACAAATCCAACTCGGCAAGCAGTTTGACGTACGCTAATGATCTCTTAAAGCTCGGTAAGAATCTTTCTTCGTTCTGCAACTTTTCGTAACAGCAGTTTCTTAACTCATCAAACCACGTTTCTTTGACTGATTCGGTTTTCATCTTCGTTAACAAGCTTTTTACCAATAAGTCATCCAATTGCAACTTGGGCGATGCTTTGTCGCTGAGATACTGTTGATAGATCTTTGTGGCCGCTTCTTTCAAATTGTCAAGATCCGCGTTCTTGCGTTTAGCACCCATCAGACCTGCACCGGACTGCGCGCTGTGAATCTTCTGTAATTCTATGTCCGATATCTGTTGCTCGGCCGAAACTCTCCAGCCATAAATATTCAGATAGAAAAACAGATACGCTTCCGCGTTTATGGAAGTCATGTAGTCAATAAAATAGCTTAGCGCGATGTTGTTCTTCAATAACTCGTCCAGCGGTAAATTAACTAGTTTTTGGCCCGGTATAAGTCTGTTCCACTCCGGCTGAGCACCGATACCGTCTGTTTCCGTTTCTAAGCCTTCTTGCATACCTATGATTCTGGTTTCCAAAATTTTTTTCACGTAAAGTAAACTGTTTAGTTGCTGCTTCACCGACAAATCGTCGTCTCCGCCCGAATCCTTCGAACGGAGATGCGCTATTTCTTTACAAATTATATTTTTCGTAGCTATTAATTCATCTACATTGTCTGTTATTCTAATTACTGTTAAAAAGATATCACTTGGTAAACCGCTCTCCTTAGTACACTGAAAAAATAAAAACCAAAATTTTATTTAAAAGCTCATGTTTTCTACTTTTATCAAAGAAATTTCACAGATTGAAGATTTTAAGTCTATTTTTTTATTACTACAAGAGTTTATGTTATATTTTTGCTGTACTTACCAGCCATATACACGCCTGATTAATGTAATCAGGATCGGAGAATAGATCCAACAACGGTCTGATTATAACGTTCACTAATAACTCCCTTAGAATAAATCTCACAGTCAAACAATCAAAGTCTGCCTTGGGTAGCACCAGGTATAGAAGAATCTCAGATATTTCGCCTAAGAATTCTAGTTCCTGAGTATCGTTCGTGCACACCAGATCTCTACATATGAGATTATTTTCCATTTGCACTTCGAGATCGAAGAATATCTTTTCCAACGATTCATCCTCCTTTTCGTCACCAGTTGACTCGATTGGCTCAGTGAGTGACGACATGTTAGGTATGTAAAACTTCGATTGCGAGTACCAAGATACATCAGTCTCGCTCTTGTTTCGACGATGAGTAGGCGTTTTTTTTGGTGTTCCACCCGAAGTGCTTGAGCTGGCGCTACCCTTTTGGACCCTGTTGGACCGTAATTGCTTCATTCGCGCGCTTGCTTGTCGATATAGCCTGACGTGAGAAGCCGCATCATCAACGAGTCTTGTAGTCAAGTAAGGTATCCAATCAACACTCTTGACCCTGTTTTGTTAAACAGGGACAATAGGAAACTTTAATCAATAATAAATGACTATAAACTAATAGTTTGATCAATAGATTATAACTGTTTCCTAACTTTTATAAATGTCCACGATAAACTGATTAGATAGTTTCTATTTTTACCACGACTTTAGGAGTGATATAAAGAAATACAGTCTCAAATAATTTTGATAAAATTAAACAGCTGATACATCAAATTCCGATTAGTTAAAAAGAAAGTTTTGGAATTAGTTAAAATCAAATATTATTTACATACCGATTTGCGATATTTATAGCAATTTTTTGAGCAGTATCTCGAACAGAATAAATAAATTCCTCATCATCCGTGATAACGCTGTACCATGGCTCTACATAATCTCTGATTAAAAAATCCAAAATTTCCTAGAGAAAAAAAAGTAATAAATGTATATTAGACTATTTTTCAATTTAAACCATAAAAGATATACGAGTTGGTATAAATTTTTTATAAATATATTGAGTATGTACTTGCAGGGATTCATCAATGATACGACTACCAGTTATTCTTCTATCTAATGTAAATGTCATCTTCTCCTTGGATAGGTCTAGTATATACTGGAAACGTAAATGTGTTTGGATTATATTATTAAGCTCAAACAAAAATAAAATATTTTAATATTTCAAAATCTCCAATTACCTGCCGGAACTTTTCAGTCTTCTTAGTTAAGTCTTCCCTTTCACACTTGATTACATTATCGAGATTCGGAGAGTATGTTTTATATACACAGATCAATGTCCTGCAACAAAACATTTTACTTTTCTCACGCTACACAGATCTCAGTACTTTGGTATAACTAATCTGTTTATTTTTATATACATTTCATTTTATACATATATATAATATTTTCTTTCTCTTTCCCTATCTCTTCTTTATCAAAGTTTTCTTTTTCTTACCCTAGAATTAATGCAAGCAAGCAAATGAGAAGTTTTACGATTGTTCCTATGCCGAGGATGTAAGCAAGCAAAGTCACGGAAGCTCCAAGAACACCATATAATGGAACGTTCATCTGTAAAGATAATGATCTATTGTCAGTTGATGAATTTCTGGATAGTGCGTAGCAGATCGCGCAACCGCTCCTCTACAGTACATACACTGTAATTATCTCGAAAGACGCAGAGTTGCGTGTAGATAATGAGACACAAATGTGTTATTAAGACTTTTTCATATATGTATAGCGGCGGTAGCTTATCAGCATCTCCTCGTGTATGCCTATCAAATAGTAGTCCTTATCAAAACAGAGAAATATGGACAAAAAGATACAGCTTAGTAACGAGACAGTAAAAACTGCTTCAAGAAGAGAATCCTATTTGTTTCTACAAACCAATTGTGTAACAAAAGATCAAAAATTCCATTCTTCCACTTTGATAAAAAATTTTATATATTGTAACGACACATAAAGATATATACAATAGATTTATTAAAACATTAATAGTGTAACTGAAAAACTAATATAAATATATATTGAAAAAGTAAATATGCAGATATTATATCCTTTTTTGACTATTTTTAAAAAAGTAAAAATATGATAATGTAAAATTATAAATATGTAGTGAAAATTGTTTTGTACACACACAAGAAAAATAATGAATATACGTTGAAGAGATTGGTCCTTAAGTTGATCTATAAAAAAAGATCTATAAAAGACCTATAAAAAAACATTAAAATCTATAAAAAAAATTAACAATCACTCATGCTTCAGCATGATTCAGTTTCCTAAATCTAATTTAAGTAATAGCAATAAATAATTATGCCCTACACATCACTATAACAAATTAACTTTGAATTTACAACACTTACTGCCATCTTCTGTACATGTGTCACTATTTTGATTATTATTTCTTGTTGATAAAGTAAGTTGGAAAGAAACATTTTTGGAAACATAGTCTCTTGTTTAAAAAGTATTTTGATAAGTTTTATTCTTAAATTTACAATTTTTATCTTCAGAAAGAAATATATATTTGTCATTAATCAGCTTATTTATTGGATTATAGTTAGTTTATAGTATCTATACAGTCTTATAAAGGTATTGCCTATATTTTATGTAGGTTCACTGTATTTATAGAGCATTACTCATGTATGGAAAAAATGTATTAATAATACTTTTGTATTATCGAAAAAAAAAGATATTTAAAAAACATAATTTCTCAGAAATAATAATAAAACAATGAAAAGACAATTGTTGCAACAATGGTTATCAACCTGTGAAGAATTGAGTTAATGTATAATCCGATAAATTTATCCGTTAGAAGTGTTTGCAATATCTGATTTGAGATATATATAAATAACACTCGAGATATAAAATTTTTTCTCTCAAGAGATATAAAATCCACTCGAGAGATACGCATCTTTTTGAAGTATATCTGTTTTTATATGTATTAAAAACAAAAACAAAAACAAAAACAAAAACAAAGACAAATACAAACCAGACTTTATATTTGTAACAAGTATGAAGTATTTTCTTTCGAAAAACACGAAACATAATTTGCGTTGTTACGCTCATACACGAAAACACATTTTCATCTCTTGTCACTTACTTTGCCTCTATTTGCACGAGCTTCTATTTTCGAAGAAAATCGATCGTACTTCATTCATTATTCTCGTGATCGATTCGCCAAATACCGATAACGCACAATTATTGTATACCTCTTTCTCTCTTCGCGGTTCTCCGCAGAAGCAACACAAAACAATTGTCACACTACCGACCACACGTATGGTTCATACGTTACTGACGCGTGATCTTGAGCGCGCGTATATTGTACAACACTGCTATACATTCGTGCACTAAAATCGCGACGCGATTCATACAAGTATCGCGATTCATCTCCCAATTGAAATCGCGATACTCGTACGAATGCAACGGACGTTGAATGGACAGCAACATCTGTCGAAGACGATATAATAAACATCGATCATGAAACGGCAAGAAATTCCGGCGAGAAAAATTCTTTTACACACCTTTGGTGATTGCTCGTCGGATTGGTTGTTGTTGTGCATTCATCTACGCACATATTGCAAGTCTCGTGACGGTCTATTGCTCACACTCAGCTGGTCAACTAAGCGGCGCTTTATTTACATTCTCGCAGGCGATGGAACTCGTTGCACCAAATGATACGTCGGACGACATCATGTCCTCCGATTCCAACACGATTCTGCGTGTTCACTAGTGGTCGCCAGCTCGACCGCTCGACGTCGTCGTCGTCGTCGTCGTCGTCGTTCCAGAGCGAATATCATTCGATATTATCGACTAATCGATAAAGTTTACTTTTTCGCGAATTATAATGTGGAAAAATGAAAAGACGAAAATATAGGAGTGAAAAGAGCAAAGAGAGAGAATTTCTGAACATAAAAATGCTAATCTTTATATGATTGATATAAAACATAGAAAGAAAAAAATGAAAACGAAGATGAATCATCGTATCTACTTGTGTGTTACATAAAAAATATACATAATAAATATTATCTTCTTTTTCATAAATATTATAGTTTAATTTTCTATATTTAAAAAATATTCCAATAGATGTTCACACAAAAAATATCTACTGAGTATTCACTGATTATTGCAACATTCAATCTAGATAGCATATGTCTAAAAGACGACTAAAAGACAACTTAAAAACGTCTTATTATTTTTTAAACAGTTTTAATATGACTTTTGATTTTTCTTTGCTGTCTGGACAATATAGATATATATTGATATATCGTGTGCTATAGGTACAAATAACATGCAGACATAAAAGCAGAGAAAAGACTACCAGCCAATTTTTTCACTTCTAGATAAGTTTTTTTTGATAACTTTATTTAGAAGATATCTCCCAAAATTGGTTTTCCTTATTGGTTCGCAGAGAAATTTATCCAGAGGATAGCTATCGAGAGGTATGAAGAAATCGGCCGTAAGAACGGCCAGGCCAATAAAGCCTGTTCTACATTGATCGCAAGCGCAAACGCAAGGAACAGGTCTGATAGAATTGACGAATCGTATTGATCAAATCAGCCAATTGACCAGCGTGATTGGTCAATTCTACGAGATCTATACCTTGCGTTTGCGCTTGCGATCAATGTAAAACGGGCTTAAAAGTTTCTGCGATAGCTTACCCGTCCCGTAAGTTAGCGCCATAATTAGCGCATGTCCACGGGTGGTGCACATTGGAACTACGCAGCCATGTCTACGAGCGACTGTCGGTACGTGCAATATGTTCAAACGTGCGGTTCAAATCTGTGCAATGTACACGAATCCAAGTGTAAAAACTCAAATACTGAATATAAAAAAAATCTATAACGTTTATTCACCTCCGAATTTTTCTCAATGACAGTTAAGATGACAATGGTACCGCTTGCACCCAAACTGTCAAAGAGAAGAATTCGGAAATGGATAAACAAATTATATATTTTCCGCGGTTCTCTTAATAGAGAGTATTAATGAAACTCTAATTTGTAAAATATTAAAACCGTATTGTAAAATTCTTCCGATAAGATTGAAGTAAAAAATATATATTCTAATATATGTTATATACAATATGTAAGAAAGAAATGATTTTGTTGTTAGAAGGTAACCGATATATCGCTTTATGTATTAAAATAATTATTTTAAAAAATAAAAAAATGATGAAGCGGAAGACTAATAATTTATATTCGCAAAATATTTAATCGCGATACACGCGATAGATTTACAATAACGAAATTACAATAATTGACGAAGAAAAAAATTCACTTTTGCACAAAATCGCGTACGAACTTGATACAACGAAAAAATAAAAATTTTGAATCGCGCACAACTCGACAACACATCCGTCACTCTCGAGAGATCGACGAAATCTGAGGCTACGCGCTGCGCTATGAGTAGAGTTTTCTATTGTGCGCACACATCCCCTATTATGCGCTTTTGGGATTTCCTTCATGTCGCAGGCCTACAGTTGCGGAGCAGGAGTTGAGCGGTTTCCCGAGCGTCAAAACAACAAAAACACTCGCCAGTTGCAAAAACATCTCGGTCGTTGAACATAACATGCTTATTGTTCACATTCTTTCGTATTAAAATTTAACATTTATCATATTTCTTAGTCTCTCTTTCTTTTTTCACATAATTGAGAATATTACTTTTTCGTGTAACATATTTTACATTGATTATTCAATTACAAAAAGATATAATTTTATTGCAATTCCGAGTTGTTGCGTTTTATTGTCGTGACCGACCGAAAAAGAAGTGTTTAGATACTACATTCGCGAAAAATATTCTTAACTATGTGCAAGAGCTGTATCAGGCTGATGAAGTGAGCTAAAATGTTCACAAAACGTCAATATAAAAATGACACTAACGCGGTTCAAACCCGAAAAACATCTTCAAATGTTAACATACCACACTGCAAAAGCATCAAATATCAGAATGTGTATAATGTTTATTTGGAACATAATCTTATGTTAGAATATCATAAAACTCGCATTAAAGTAGATCTTGTGTTCGCAAAAATTGCTTGGATGGTTGACAGCCACGTTAGAAAGACTACATAAAGAAACAAAAATAATCCTCGCTCATCGAGGTAGTGGGGATACACCATGACTCTCGCTTGAGTGTGTGCCCCCAATGCCCCCATCACCTCGGTGTTCTCTGCTAGTCGGCCAGAGTTCGTAACTCTGTGGTCGGCACTCGGCAGTCAGCATTCGGCAGTCGGTAGTCGCTAGTCGCTGTAAGTGTTTTGTGACCAATAATGTTGTGATATATGACCGGCCCTGGTGATCCCCGTTTTATGCCCTTTGACACCCAATTTTCTAAGCAACTCCGCTAATCTGTTAAACTCTAAACCCCGGCCTATTCTTACAGCTTCAGAAGTCGCATCACCTTGCCGAGTCGTTGTGCGCGTGTGGTAGTGAAGGATGCGTTCTACGCCATTGTTGGCTCAAGGCGCCTTTAGATATCAATTTGGATATGTTTACAGCACAGAGTTGCAAGATCGAGACGGCCAGTACCGAAAGCATTAAAATAGTGGAGGTACGTACACAACGCGTTATTGAATCGCAGAATAGACGCGAGATCGGAAGGCATGGTCAGTGTTACCACGTTACGCGTTTACTACGTACGACAATAATGCTTTCTCAAGACTGACAGTGTTATAAATAGTAGAGATAATAACAATACAGATAACAAGCAGAGTAGCTTCTGACAAGCTTGATATGTTATCAAGGTCATGGTCCTGAGTGATCTTCAAAAGATTTAAGTAATGCTCACTGTTTGTTAAAAAATTATTAACAAAAAATGTTGATAATTAGATATGTGCATTTTCTCAATTTTCGCTATTTTAATCCGGTTTTTTAAAAAAACGCTTTATTTCATCACTAAAATGAGGAGTCAATTGGGGGAGCTTGATAAAAACTGTTTATTAAAAAGTTGTACCCAAAAGAAGTTTTACAAATGAACTTAATTGGCAAATTTACCATTGCGCGTTAGATTTTGTTATGTGGACCTTCGCATATAGCTCTATTCTACCACATTTTATTACACATTCTTTATAGATACAATATCAGACATAGAAAATGGCGATTGTTTGATACATATATCAAAGTGTACCAAACTATAGTTTGTATATATACTACCTAAATAACTGCGGTCCGTTTCATGCTTAAGCGCACATTTATCTATAGTATACGTGACATATACTACAAATAAATGCGCGATTAAGCATAAAACGAACCGCAGCCTATGTTGGTTTGCTATATGTACCAAATGGGTGCCAAAAATCGCCTACTTATGAAATATGTGTAAATCTTTATTTGGGTTTTCTTTTATATGCGAGACATTACATCTATAAATGCCATATCTATAAATGATAAATGTATAACTTTATTTGTTTTATATGTAAGACATTATATCTATAAATTATAAATGTGTGAAAACTTAATTTCTTTGTTATTTTCTATGTCTGACATCGCATCTATAAAAAATGTGTAATAAATTGTAGTAGAATTGTAGTAGAATATATTTCTATTAACACTGTCAGTCTCGAGAAAGCATTTCACGTTGTCGTACTCAGCAAGCACGCAACGTAGCGACGTGACAACACTCTGGTCTAGTTTCCACCGAAATCCTCAACTTCGGTACAGATCAAATTTAGTGTTCCGTTTCCATTGGAAGTAGAGTACTTATAGATCAAAGCGGAAGCGAAATCAGCGCAATTTGACAGGTTTCCATCGACTTAAATTTGATTCTACGTCGCATTAGATGTGAATTAATGCTTCGGTGGAAACTAGACCACTGACAACATGCCTTAAGCCTATGTTACACTACGGATTGGGATTGAGATTGGATTGAAATTTAACCAATCAGAAAAAAGAAAACCAATCCTAAATTTAGTGATCTTTGCTCTGATTGGCCAAATTGCAATTCGATCTCAATCTTAATTCGTAGTGTGACATAGGCTTTACGGGCTCTCTTTGTGGCCGGCTTGGTGAGAAAAAGACGGAACATAGTATGTCTGCACTCTTTCACAAGCCGAACAGCCGAGCGCACGTGGACGGCGGTTCTCGCTTACGTGCTTCTATCGCTAGTGGTGGCCGAACGTTTCGTGTTCGCGAGCTTGTTTTATACCGCCATTGTCAAATGACGAGCGTACGCAACAGTGTGGCGCTCTATGCGATTGTTTTCCCGCTGTTGAATTTTTCCGTAAACATAAAGTAGATCTATGTAAATTTATACTTTTATTTATCATTAAATCTATTTTAGAGATTTACTCAGATCTGCTTAGATCTGTTTAGATCTGAAAGATTATTTTCTTGATTCAATTTTTTGCATGGCTTTGTAAAAAAGCGTGCGCCTTTCATTTTTACAAGTTCATCCTGGAGATTATACCACGATTTGATTACAGGTCCATCTTGCAGCTTGTATCATTGGCGAGCAAATTTCAATTTACTAGATGCTGCCAAGAGCAATACTGTCCGACGCACCATGAATCTGCGAGACTCTGTCCACTCGTCTCACCCACGCGTTAACACTTTCACTATCTGTTCTACCGAACTCAGGTATCTGAGTTGCAAGCTACTTTGTTGCTCTACCTTTACTCAACTCATCAGAATTTATCACTTGTGTTTTCTGTTACAGAAAATAATCTCGGCAGTGTCCCGGGCCGATTCTCTCTCTCCGAGTTGGCGGCACTTCTCGCGGACTCTGTTACACCGTTACTCTCCGTCGGTGCCGATCTATTCTCAGCGGTCAGCTGCCAGACGATGTCTGCCATAAATTGCCGCTGTTGCCGCTGCAGCATTTGTTGGTGCAAAAAGGTTTGCTGCATTTCGAGTTGATCGCGCGAGATGCGATTTTCTGCAGCTGTACAAGCGCCTTCTTAAACGCGTCCGCGGTCAACAGTTCGGAACAGCTAGCCGCTCCGGTTACCGAGCGAGAATCTCGACCTTTCCATAGACTTGGATAATAAATCTAGCGAGTCTTGTCGCTCCAAGTAATTAAATCAATTAAGGCTGCACGCTCATTGGTGGACGGGAGCTTGTATCTGCGGGCCTCTTTTCTGAGCTGTTCTAATGCCAATCGATCTAAGGCTGGACAGGCACGAGCATACACCAGCACTGCACGCAACGTATTTTGGAGCATAACGGCTGAAACCACCAACAAAATTCGAAAGACCTATTCGATTCCACCCGATTTAATGCGAAGGCGGTTGCCCATTTCAAGGCTCGGTTCCGTTTGCGATTGCGTCGAGTCTTTATCGCCGCGCGTGATGTTCGCTTGCAAGCTCCTCTTAAGAGGATGCTGAACCAGCGGCTTAACAGGTTTGCTTCTACGCTGTCCAGTAAATAGTATCCTCTACAAGGATAGATGTATGTTTCTTTCCTTATTTCTCCTTCGATTCGTCTGCTCGATAGTGAAAGGGATATGCACATGTACGCGACTGTCTGCTTGTGTGCGTATTCTTCTTACTATTGTATGTACTTCATCAAAAGATCGGATTATTCGCGTAACCTAACCTAGGCAATAAAATCACATTCTGATTCCATTATATTCTTTTATGTCATTTGCTACGCGCTCTGATGCCTGCATATTTACACAATGCTTAGAAATTGTTTAAAAACAAAAATATGATCAAGTGATAGTAAAAAAGTGTAACTTGGTTTTTTTCAATGGTCAAAATACCAGAGCGCGATGTGTTTTTTTATATTCTTTACTTTTGTAAAAGCAATTTTTTATTTGATGCAGTAAATAATGAGATATTAGTCCGATCTACTAAAGTGACATATTCCGTCAATAAAACAGGAAGGTTCAGCATCTTCTTCAATTAATGAGAAGATTGATAGAAGTTGTTATTTGAGTGAACTCGCAGTTGATTTTTGAATATGTGAAACTGAATTAAATAATGAAATTCTTTCGAGTTTAGAAATACAACAATTTGGAATAGGAAAGTTAAAACAGAAATCGGATGCTATCCCAGGCGGTTCAACACCGCGGATAGCTCTTCCAGTCGACGGAGGCAAAAATATTATAATTATAATATATTATAATATATTGAAAAAGTATTATTATTTCTATTTCTTTTTGAATTTACCACAAGCGAGTTTCTTGGGATCCTTTAAATTTCAACTGCGAGTTCTCTCTCTCCCTTTTTTGTTTATTATTATTTTTATTATTCGTGGAACCTACAAGTTACAAATTAATTAAACCTTAATCTTACTATTATTCGCACAACACCCTGCATAACGGGTCGGGCACCCCTTTAAACTTGCCCGACCAAAATCAAGAGATTTCAAATTCGTTAAGAACCCGATTTAAAACAACATCAACATAGATTTTAATCTTACTACTTGCGGAATCTTTTCATGGTTTTTGTGTGAAATGAGTCTGTTCGCTTTTTGGTGTGGCTGGTTGTGGGACTTGTTTAGTCCTCGAACTTGGCGGTGAGCTAGTCAGGTGTTCGGTACTCGATTGTCACTTGCGCAGTACTCGTGAGTGGCACTGTTTCACGGTACTCTTTTGCGAACTCTTTAGATCTCAAAGGAGGTCGGGTTTTTCCTGATTTTGGTCGTGAGGGAGGGGGGGTGTCGGCTTATATACAATTTTTGGTAGAGCCTTCAAGGTTTCTTTTATCGAAGCATCCGATCGGGGCCCCTGTTTCTACTGAAACGAATTGGTAATTTCTAAAGTCGGCAGCGTTTGTGCCCCCCGAACTCTGCATCTGTGTTTAAACTAAAGAGATAACAATTTTATCTTCACGTTGGTATCTCCACAGATAAGAATTTGTTTATTAGTGTCTCGCAAGTGTTTGTCTTGAGTATTTTGTTTCCTCGATTGTTATTTCCCCTTTTTAGTGATAAAGGGAAGTAGTTTAGTCTCACGTGTGCAAACCGGTTTTCTGCATTGCGTGCTTAGTCAAATTGATCTCCTGCTCTCTATCTGGGAGTTTTCTTTTATCTATCGTTTTGTCTGCTATGTTTCTGTTTGTGAAAAATATGAACTTATCTCTACCGCGTGTTCACTACGTAGCGAGGTCCACGAGCGATATGTCGATACGTATGGCTATGTCCACGCGTGGACACGAATTTAATCCGTGCTACGTGCGGTGGACATGGTACTATTCCGTACTATGTGCAGTAAACATGGTTCTATTTCGTGCTATGTACACGTCGGTATACAAGTCGGTGTACTTGTCGCGTATGATAACTTGAAATGCTTTCTTAAGATATACAGGGTCGGAGTTGTTCCACCTTCAGATAAAATATCGGACAGTTTATCTAATAATTAAAACTCTGATTTGCGTAGTTCTACGTGTCGAACGCAGCTTTGCAGTTGCTAAACTACGTTCTGGAAGTGATTATTGAGATATTTTAGCAACTGCAAAACTGTGTACGACACGTCTTGCAACGAGATCTCAACAGCTAAGATGTCACTTCCGACTGCAACAAACATAAAATTTTATTACTACATACATTTTTATATTTTTTAGTCGTTAACTTGTTGATGCAATAATAAAATTGAACGCAACGATGTGACAAACTATTTTGCGTACGTGATAAAGAAAGAAAGAGAGAGAGAGAGAGAGAGAGAGAGAGAGAGAGAGAGAGAGAGAGAGAGAG